ACGGTTATTGTTGTTTGTTGGTTGGTTTTTTGTCATGTTATCTTATTGTGTCGCCGTGTATAGAAGGACTGTTGTTGACACTTAACTAGTTTTAGAGTTTTAGAACTGCACACAGAGTTGTTGTATGGTTTGGCGTGGTTTGTATTGTGAAAAGTAACGGCTAAAACTGTCGATGGTTATTTTTTTTCCAGTTAGAAGTTGATACAGTCATAGAGCAGTGTAAAACGGCTATCTCTACCCTTAAACACTGTAAGGGATTACTTCAGGTTGAAGCCAGCCATTTGCAGGAAAAAGTTTACGAACTACAAGAACACAAAAACAGTAACGAAGCGCTCACACAGGGTCACCCACCAGATCAGGCAAACCAGAGATGGTAAGGTGTTTAATGTAGAGTTGAGATGGGATTTTTATTGAAAAGCGAGTNCACTGTAAGGGATTACTTCAGGTTGAAGCCAGCCATTTGCAGGAAAAAGTTTACGAACTACAAGAACACAAAAACAGTAACGAAGCGCTCACACAGGGTCACCCACCAGATCAGGCAAACCAGAGATGGTAAGGTGTTTAATGTAGAGTTGAGATGGGATTTTTATTGAAAAGCGAGTGTTTTAATCACTGTTATTGCTGGTTTTGCCACATTTCTCATAAAGCAAATGTTCACTGTTTTTCATCTAGGTTGGTCTTTGTGTTCGTGTCGACCCCATTGTAAATGACATAGCGTGCTCATTTGGCATACATGTATACAGATAAAACCTTACTCATACGCGGCGTGTAATAACGATCAGTAATAACCCTTTAACTGCTAAGAGTAACCAACATTCAATTTCTCCTTATAGTAACACTGCTCAATCAAACATTAAGGTTGTGAGGAAAAAAAGAAAATGAACAAAAACTGGAAAAAGTCTTGATTGCTTAATAAATTCTCCTCGTTGGTATCAAAGAAAAGGTATGGAGAGTGAAGTGGAGAATATTCATGCTGATACGTGCGGCAAATGTGGCGGGAAAATAAACTGAAACAAAGTGTTAAAAAAATGTAAGAGGATATAGTTAAACAGAAATCAAATGCTACCCAGCAAAATAAAATGCGTGCTGTTTTAATTTAAGGCTTGCTGGTGCCGTGCAAGTACTCAGTAAACTGGGAGGAATAAAAGTACAAAGTATCGAGGGAGATTCTGTGGTGTTAGAGTTAGAGAATGACGCGGTACCCAGTACGGACCAGGGTGCCAATACCACACTGATTTTGACCATCAAATTTCGACTGGAACTGTCAGGAGACGTGTGCGCTGTGTTTGCTGGAGCAGAGGTAATGGTGGAGTCTACTTTGTTGTGAAGTACTCAGTGTTTCTTATGTAATGATGATGATGATGATGATGATATTTATTATTTGATCTGTTTGCGCAAAATCACGTAATAAATATACATGATTGCATTATGATTGCATTACACTAAAACCGTCCATAACTTTTAAAACTATCTAATATCACGCAGTAGCAATTGTGTTTATATCCTATCAATTTCCAACGGTTGCATATGTATTTGAAATCAGTGTTACCGATGTTGTAAAGCCGCATTTGGCAATTTTATTGCATGAGTGCTACTCTAGTTCAGTAGTACCAAACTAAATAGTAATAAAATGCCAAGTCAAGTCTACAGTTGATTTAATTTAAAAATTGTAAAACTGACGCTGTTATTATAAGAATCTTAACCGACGTTTCGGCAATGCTGCCTTCTTCAGGGTATACAAGACTAAATACCGTTAAAAAGTTCCAACAGTTGATATGCCTGCCCTATTATAAAAATACATAAATATATATTCAAATAATTACAAGAATTTAACTCAAACAAAATACAAATTAAAGTATCTCTTGTTTCCTTATTTGTACCAATTCCCATTTCGTTTAATAATTATGAATTACACAGGAACGAAAATGTATATTATGCTTCATGGAATGAATTGAAACGATTAGAGTTTCTTTCTAATTTTAGTTCATAGTCTAAGATTGTCCAAGGCTTAGCCCACACTGCTAGCTTTTAAGTTTTGGAGTAACGTTCTCTGTTTTTTGGATTTTGTCCTTTAAGGTGATATTCTTGGAAATTCAGTAAAGGTTTTCATATTCACCAAAGGTCCTGTAAAAGGGTAGGAGGTGGGAGACCTAGAAATAGGGGGAAATCTTAAAAGCGCTAATGCTTACTATTTCGCAATCATTATAAAACATTTTAAGTTACTTTTTGACATCTCCTGTTCAAACAATGGCATTTAGAGCCACTCTAAGTTATCGAAACATAAACTTAGTTTTGGAAGAATTTTTTAAATTCTGTGAGATAGATCTTGATAAATTGATTACAATTCAATAGTAAANACAAATTAAAGTATCTCTTGTTTCCTTATTTGTACCAATTCCCATTTCGTTTAATAATTATGAATTACACAGGAACGAAAATGTATATTATGCTTCATGGAATGAATTGAAACGATTAGAGTTTCTTTCTAATTTTAGTTAATAGTCTAAGATTGTTGAAGGCTTAGCCCACACTGCTAGCTTTTAAGTTTTGGAGTAACGTTCTCTGTTTTTTGGATTTTGTCCTTTAAGGTGATATTCTTGGAAATTCAGTAAAGGTTTTCATATTCACCAAAGGTCCTGTAAAAGGGTAGGAGGTGGGAGACCTAGAAATAGGGGGAAATCTTAAAAGCGCTAATGCTTACTATTTCGCAATCATTATAAAACATTTTAAGTTACTTTTTGACATCTCCTGTTCAAACAATGGCATTTAGAGCCACTCTAAGTTATCGAAACATAAACTTAGTTTTGGAAGAATTTTTTAAATTCTGTGAGATAGATCTTGATAAATTGATTACAATTCAATAGTAAAACATGGGATGTGCGATCTCATTTCAGGTTTGAGTTCTAAGCGCGAAAATCTTTTGAAATCCCGCCTGAAGATGGTCAACACTCGTTGATCTTTTAGCATGTTGTGTAACACAAGAGAGCAAAAGAAAAACTGTAAACAACCTCTTATTTCTGATTCATTTCCCCTTATGAGCAGGTGAATCTACCTTCAATTAGTATCGACGATCTGGTCTGCCAAGCTCTGCATACTGGAGATGTGGTTGGATTTATTCTGCAAGTAAAGCGGCGCTTCAGAAATCAGCGGACGCTTATTGAAGAATTAGAAAAACTACAAACTAAGTGAGTGCGTGAGGAAAATTCGTCAAAGATAATCATTAGAACTTGAAAAGCGCAGTATACCATAAATTAAGTTTCATTGCGTAGCTACTGTAGTAGAACCGGAAATCTACTAGCTTAGATTGAATTTGCTAGGTTCGCTTTTGTATTAAGGCGATCGAGTGGATAGGATGGAATAACGTTGAGGAAAAGTGAACCTGTTATAATGCTATCTATTTCATCCAGTTGTTAAGCCGTTGTAAGGAGACAAAAAAGGCCTATGACAGGGTATTTCCAAGTCCTAACTTTACCTGTGATTAGCAAATGAATTGCGTGTTTAAAAGCAATCCTATTGGATCTGAAATTTACTCCTGACGTAACATTATGAAGTCTCAGTAAACAAGCTATTATTCACTGTTCAGAGACGTCGAGTCTGGTTAAAAAAAACTCAACGGTTACCGCAAAAATTCCTGACCACGCTCAACAACCAGAGTTAAAGAGAGCGTGCAGGACCTCACTCACGGGAAGGATAGCACGCGCGCCACGTAAGACCCGAGGGAGGGCTGATAACAAGGCAAAACCCCTCTAAAGGACGACAAATGAAACCTCGCCGTTTAAAGATCCATTAATTGGTAGAGAAGTTTCATCATGTTTAAATATCGGTTGTGACTAGAAAGGTGCTTTTTATGAGAAACTAGGACTGAAGAAGTTATTTTGAAAAGGGCTGGTTAAGCTATTTACCGAGACTGGCGAGATAAAATGGCCGAAGTAAGTACCCCTAATCATAATACACTGTTTGCTTTGGAAAAAAGAGCATTTTGCTGAAATTTTTCCCCAAAAAACCTTGATCACAAAAAAAAGTATTTCGTGGCGCCTGCCTTTCTATGAGCTAGCGAGGTTTGGACCTTACCCGCGCACAGTTTTAAAGTGCTGTTGATGAACAAAAAATACCGATCGTAAACATGCAACTAAGGAGGGAATTCAATGGTGTTTTTTTTTTGTTTGTTTCTTTTTCGTTAACTATTTTTTCTTGTTTGTAGTCTTGTACCAGCCAGTAACCTTTTCTCAATTTTCGATTAGTTACGCTATGGACTGGGAACCAAGTCACGGGCGAATCCGTGTGATGTTAGGGAGGAGTGGTAAAGTAGTATGCACTCTGAAGGTCGATCCTGTGTCCACTGGTCGGGGAGATGTTCAAGTTGTCCGAGTGGAAGGAAGTTCTCACCAGACGGAAATCGAACGTTTACAGGTTAAATTTTGTCTTCTTTCTCTTGTTAATTGCGAACGTGCCACCCTACAACCATCGACGCTGCCACGGGTCATCACTATTACTTTGGCAAGATGCTATTTAGCAGAGAATGAGATTCTCACGCACTTAAAACCATTTTTAATCGCTAGTGTTTTCTTTTGAAATAGCAAAGCCATTGATAATCACAAATAGTGCCCCAAGTGACGGTCAAACTTAACTGGCGAAGTGCTAGAGAACAGTTAAGAAAGGAATTCACATTATGTGCAATCTCTTTCAAAACCTTTTCATGCAATCTTCCCATCCTTGTACGTCGCAGATACGTGGTCACATTTCATTTCATTTTTTCTTCTTTTTTAGATGGATGGATCAAACAGAAATCTGACCAGGTGGATCGAAGACCTTCAGCAGCTGTTTAGTAATGAATAACAAACTCCTCAAACAGTGCAAAGCGTTTTAAAAGCACAACACAGAATTGTACAAAATGTTTTAATTGTTTTGCATCGTAGAAAGACCTAATTTAGTATATACAAATCTTGTTTTAGATGTTTCTGGTAACATGAGTATTTACAAGAATTTTTCTCGTTAACCAGAGGTAGATGTAATTTTAAACGGCTTTTATAAATAAATATTACGTATCTTATATTTATTGAACGAGTGTATGAGTTCGAGTAATACAAAAACAGTAACAGAACAATTTTTATGCCCTCGGTCTGTCCGCAAGCCTTCTTATATGACCATTCCGACCTAACACTTCACCTCCTTGGTTGGAGGTGAACTTAAGAGGACAGTGAAGCCTTGCGTTTCAAACGAGCTTTGGGAGGAATATTTGATCAGAATTTTTTCTACGAAACGCAACAACAAACGTTTAAATTGAGTCAATACGGCTCATTTCATGACGAATAACTCAACATTTTTTTTAAAACAAAACTTCCTACAAAATTTTCTTGAGAATAAGAAAGTTATATATATTACCTTTAAGAGTATTCTATCGTTTATTTATAAAACAAATTCGACACGACTCACTTCACGACCTTCAGCTCCTTCACTTCTAAATTTTCCTTTCTTCGATAGCAGGCGTAAAATGACATGTTAATTCGATCTATCCCGCGGAAGAGACGCATAACACTGCTCAACGTATAAAATAGTTCCTTAATTTTAAAACATCTGCTGCCAAAACTAGAAATCAAGATGAACGCTGCATAAAAAAAGAACACTGCGTTTAATGAGGGCGACACCTCAAGTCGTGTTTAGACGCGCCTCTTTGAAACGAAACTTCAGTGACTCAGTTCAACACGCATCTTACCGAAATACCTAAAAGAATCTCTCCTAGCTTACAAAATAATCGCTACAAATACGAAAAAAAAAACAACGAATTTCACTGAAAGCTGTGAAGTTGACTAATTTTGTGTCCTTCAAAATTTTATCCTCAAAAATACAATAATTTAATCTCTTTACATTTATAAATTCATTGCAATGTCATAAAAATACTCTGAGAGAACTCTGAATATTAACTTCTACCTGTTCGAAGAATAACAGGAAGCATAATTATAGGTAACAATGACACAATTAATGAATTGTTCACCACACTCGCTTTACTCTTGCGAACGTTGGAAACCGGTTGTTGTGACTTTCTTGAAAGTAATGGTACCCGTGAGCGAGCGCCTTTAAGTGCTGACAACACTATATCTGAAGTGAATGCAGGAGTTCCTGTGTTGATGAACGCTTCCAGCCTTTGGGCTTCACTATTACAAGTTTCAACCTATAAAGACCAAAACAAAATCCAAGTTTAGAAAATAGGAGACCTCGTTTCCCTGGGGTCTAGTCCCAAGTCTCACTCTCGGGGATGGGGAGAAGAGAGATCCTGGAACGAGTTTGACAAGAAAATCTGTGTATAAAAAAAAAGTGAGTCTCTGTAAAGAACTACATGACGAATATAATGAGCAGCTTTGAACATCTACGTGAAGCCTTGGCATGTCTGGTAATACCTGAAGGATTGTTGGTTTTCCCGTGACAGCCATTACCAACACCACTATATCGCCTTCAAGACTGTGATACCCAAAGAGATCGCACTCAGTCTGAAAACAGAAAGTAATTTACAGGCAAGCTGTAAGCAACACTTAATCAAAAGTAAAGTATGCTTCAGAATCTAGACTTTTTTCCAGTGGCTTCAAAAAAAGTGTACTGGGTCATTTCCGATTTGCTCCGAGCCCCTGTTTCAAAGCGAGGCTAAGTGCGAAGCTATTGATATGAAAATGCGTTTTTATTCTCCTGCAATGAAACTCATTTTCAAAAAAAGGTTTTGCACTTAGCCTCGCTATGAGAGTGAGAGATTTTGCAAATTGGAAATTGCCCATTTCAAACTGTCACTCTGGACAGCCATATTCGTCAACAAAACTGAAAGAAAAATATTAAAAACTAAACGGACTTCTTTTAGCCGAACGCACTATGATTCTGATGTTACTACTTGCGCTCTTAAGCTAGAGAGCAGCGGCGACCGATTATTAGATTCAGTTTTTTTAGACAAGTGTTCATCACATGTTCATACTGTATTTATTGTACTTACAGTGGAAATGTGACGCCGCAAGAGCAGAAATAGTTGTTCCAGTGTGACTGTCTCATATATGCTAAAACCTTCTCTGTTCTTCATCAGCTGTTTTCGACTGTACAGGATTCGAACTTCCGCGGCTAAAAGACACAGAAAAGTGTGACTTAGATGAAAATTAAGGCACGACCCCAACAAGCCACAGCTTTTGTCACGGTAAGGCGAATGCAAAGATGTGATTACAACTCACAGCCTGTAACCTGTATCAATGTAACTTTCGTACCGTGCATCACATTATACAATTTTGCACAACGTGACCGAACTTAAAATCAAAGATTAGCCCTTTATGCCTTGATCATTATTTTCTCATTGACACGACGCACAGTCAGTCAGAGGGGTCAAAAGAGTTAATGACGAGATGAATTCTAATGACAATTATTTCAATTTCTCAAACGACGGTACATGTACAAGAAAAGGGCACTTGTCTTTTGCTATTAAGGTACTCCAACATCTACCAAGGTAAATGCATCCGAAAAAAAATACAAATACATAATCCCGCACCGAAGTTTCCACAACTTCAATATGAGACTCTAAGATTGAAAAAAAATCCAAAATTATCGCAGGTTTAAGTCTGAAGTATATTTTGTCTTTTCATGTTTTACGAAATGGATGAGTATCGCAGGTTTCAATGTAAAGATTCTTACCACAGTGAAGGCAGCAAGCCCCAGGTGGAATGATTCCTTTGCAGTCAGGTGGATTCAACTTAGGACACTTCACATTCTTACATCTTGGCTCATCTCCTGAGATTACAAACACACACATTAACACCTCAGAGCTCCTCTTCTACAGTTTGCTCAGAATCTTGACGTTAAGGGAGTTATGATCGCAAGAAGGAAGGGGTGCTCGTCTCTTTTTGGTTACTAATGGTTTCAAAATGCGTACGAGGTTTTCTTCGTGCTGGCTAGGACTGTGTAGAATGACATGCAGTGATTCACATTTCTATAACCTGTCTCAGTTTAGAATCAGAATTTAAGTATGTATCCAAGGTGATGGTTACCTGACTCGTCAATTAAGTTAGTAAGCCGTGATGTCATTACTGTGAAGAGTCAGTCCAAACACGAGTGGTACGTTCTCAGTAGTCCTTCCTTTCAGTGTGAACTGTCAGTCAAATTCTAGTCCGCTGACCAGTTCACAACAACTAAGGCAAGTGTATAAACGATTCTAAATCGAAACTGTCGAGAATTGTTTTTTTACGAATCCTGCACAGTAGTGTCGTATACATATATACTCACCATCTCCGACTCCAACTGCCCTGCAGCGACCGCGGTAATCAATAACAACTCGGGCTGAGTCTGCTGCACATGTACTGGAGTAAGTCTCACCATTCACTCCGCACACGGCAGAGGACGAGGGTTTACATTCATCCTATCAAATAAAAAAAAGTCAATCATGAAGCTGCAAGCTGATCACCAAGTGCAATATTTTCCTCTTACTGAATTAAAAATAACACCGAACATGGCAGGTAGAGTTCCAAAAAGTTTAAATCAACAGGACACTATAACTTTAAACAGCAACGGTATCTTTGCTCACTTTTCTGTTTTGTTTTTTTTTTTCACACAATTATTCACCTTGCAAAAACCTTTATATGCCAGACTCTTGCCGTTGAACTGTAACGAACAAAGGTTTGGGTGTTGGCGGTTGTCCGTGTCGCAAACTGGATCCAGCTGAAGATCACTGCAGTACTTTCCCTCCGAAACTGGCAACACAAAAAAAAAATCAAAGCTTGAGAAATATTTTTAAAAAACTGACAGAAGTACTGAGTCAAATTCTTCTGCTTACACATACAAATACATGAGTATGGACAGTCTATTACTAGTATATGAAGCAGTAGGTCTATTTGGCGCAAGCGTAACATGAAAGAATAACTCAATTTACTTACCACAGTAGAATTGGCTGCAGTGATCAAGAACGGAGAGGCAGGTCTTTCTTTCCACAATACACCTTGAAAATCAAAATCAAATCACCCATATAAGTTCAATAGCTAAAGAAGGTTCAGATAGCAACCTTAATAAATGAAATAAGCCGTGAACGTTACGAGAAAACTCTGACAATGTCATAAAAGTTTACACTAATAAAAACAAAAACACTTAAACATAATATTATTTGCAGAAAGCAAAAGACGGGGATACAGCAAAAACTATTCATACGTACTTTTCATCTGCAGCACAAGGATTTGATTCACAGGGATCGATAGAAGCACAGTTACCATCTGTGTAATCAGAACTCCTAAGTCCCATGCAACTTGTTAAAAAAAGAGAAAGAGAAAATATAAGAACAACTGAAACAGTCTTACTTAAACGAGAACTGATTCTCAGTTCACACCAGCTAGTGCCAAATAAGCAGGACACAGAGGAAACTTCTAAAGAAACTTGAACACACGAGTTTCTAGGAACTGATTAGACGTCCTTTATTGGATCCACAGAGGGAATGTTACGGCATGCTACCTTAACAACAATCGATCATTGCTGGTATGTGACCACAAGCGTGTAGTAACCTACATCTGTGTCAACCAATGTTGAATGAAGAATGTTTTATCCGATGAGGGCATTAAAGCCAGCGTGACAGGCATTGAAAGGGGAAAGGGAAAGAGAGGGGGGCGCGATGGGTTCGCGCACCTCGCGCACCTCGCGCTCTCCCCTTCCCAAGTCACGCAAGCAGGAGCTATTACGCAAAGGCGAATAACACCCTCCGAAATCGGTGTAATTCTTCTTGTCCTGCCCAGCCTCATCATATACTGTAATCATATAAAATTATTATTCCTACTAAGGTATTTTCACACGATCCCTCTCTATTAACAACTTGATCTCTTGCCTGCGTGGCAGGCGCAAAAAGGGGAGGGGGAGGGAGAAAAGCGCGAAAGAGGGAAAAAGGGAAGGGAGCCTTACCCTCTCTCCCCAATCCCCCTCTTTTTCCCTTCCTCCCTACCCCCCTACCCCTTTCGACGCCTGCTAAGCAGGCTACTTGATCTCCAACCACACGGTCATAAACCGATACTTTCGTAAACAGTCCACTCCAGACTACAAGTTCATAGAAGGATGATATCATTCATGTGAGAACAGAGACGTAAACTCTTAAGTCTGCATGCGTTCAAAAACTTAAATGGGGTCGTGTGGCCTATCATCAGAGCCGGCACTAAACCAATCGCCCCATGTAAGGGAATACAAGACAGTCTCGGCTTGGATTCTGGATTCCACGCTGTGGACTCCGGATTCCAGTTAGTGGATTCTGGATTCTTTGTCAGTGGAACCTTGGATTCCGGATTCCAATCGTTAGTACGATTCCAGATTCCACAAGCGGAATGTATTCAGGATTCTGGCTTCCACAAGCAAAATTTCCCGGATTCCAAATTCACCAATAATTTCTCTGATTTCGGAATCCAGGTTGCCTTACATAAGGCGAAGACAGAGCTCAGTAGTATTTGCTTACCGTGCAACACAAGGGTTGGGGTAGGTCTTGCCATCCCCGCCACACAATGGTTGATAGACATTATCACAACCACATGGCAGAGTTGTGATTAAATCGGTATCTATGGACTCGTTGTTAGGGGTTTGGTTTCGTTTAGGCCGGCCTAAAAAAAGAGCAGATATATTAGTCCAAGAAATAAGACAATAACTGTCTTTGAAGTGAGGTCCGGCTTTGCTTTTTGTTGACATCTGTCAATTTAATAATTTCTTCGCCGTTTTTCAACGTGAAAGTAAATTAAATCCCGCCAGCAAATAAAAGACATTCGACCGCAGTAACTGTGCCTTCCACCTATTTCTGACGTGAAAACCGTAGGAATAACAAGCGAATTCGGCAGACTTTTCCTCATAATAATTTTTAAAAAGTTAAAAAAAGTAAAAACAAACGACGTCTTGAAGTTGAACTTACGTCATTATCAAGTAAAAAAAAGTGTCTTTTGCCGATTATAAATACTAAATAAACAATGCTTCATTAAAAACCTAACATAAAGTGTCAAGAATGTTAGTTCAAAATAAAGAGTTTTGCACGAATTGAATCGGCCGGGTGTTCAACCTTGGGAGACGAGGAAAAAGCGTTTTTTTTGGCCCGAGATTTTAATAATGCGGGTCAAAAATTATCACTTGCAACTTGCAAACTTTCTCAGGGAATTTCAGTAGCTATCGACGTTTTAAACAAGTATGAAGTGACAATCAAGAGAAGAAAGCCTCTCACTATTTTTTCCACCTAAATATTAAGATGTGTACTAAATTGCACTGAAAATGAAGAAAAAGACTCACTTGCATTATACTCCGGTGAAAGCACAGATGCTGGACACTGCCTCTTGGTGCAAGTCACCTCTCCAGAGAAACATGTGCATAAATTACAGTCATCCATAAACAACTCACCATCATCTGCAGAAAAATCATGCCAAGAAATTAAACGTTGATCAGGAGCCTGTTCAAAGACGTTTTTCTCTCTTTCTTTTCCCCACCCCACCCCCTTGAGTTTGCGATCAATAAATAACCCGCGGTTTTTATTTCTCACTGGCGGTCGACGATCTGTTAATTAGGGAAAATAGAGAGCCTGTGAAAAGGATGTTTATCAGAGAAGAGAGAAGTTCTGTAATTTAAAGACAGCTTGGAAGGAACAGTCAGGTAAAATGTAACGTTTAAGTACGCGTTTTGTTTAACTTCGTCATGGGTTGCATAGTTTTGTTTCACACAGCATACAAAAATGTAACTGGAAAAGACAAAATATGAAATAAACAATGGCCAACAAGGTTTCACTCACTTATGGCCATAGGTTTGCCCGGAATGTAACAAGGCTTTCGTCGAATGCAGTCCAGACTTTTGCACTTGCTGAGTTTTGATGTACCATCACAGTGACAAATTTTATAGCAGCCGGCTCTTCCACTTGGATCAGGCACCTAAGATCAGTAACAAAACCTTCAAATCGTGGGTCTCTCTTTTAACCATAATCATTTGAGATGTATGACCCTTCGACAGTTATGGTTATTTTCGCCTAATGAACAATAAAACTAAGCTAAACAAAGGGGAAGTCATTAAAGAGATTAAGCAAAGACGTTTTGAGCGACGAACGTCAACTGAAGTGACGCCTTTTCCCTTTTAAGTGTCTTTACGCTTATAAAAGCAATTTGCCCGAAAATTTGGGAAAAACCATTGCCTAAGACGGCAAAAAGTTCACTTCTGTCTGACCTACGTCGCTCAAAATCGCGTGAAAAGGTTTTCTCCCGCGTTTTGCCGCTCGCTGGATCGGCTCCGACGAATCACCCTTCGCGTGCCCTCATTTCCTGGGTAACATAACAACTGACCTGCTGATTAATAATACCTCCAGGGACCGAATCGATCGAGGATAAATGTATACAAAGAAAAAACAATCAATATATTGACAGCTCATTGTCGTAATGACTGCTTACCCTGGCAAACTCTCCCACTCGCACAAGGAAACTGGATTCATCACCAAGTGGACAACCTGTGCGGTGTAAAACGATGTTGGTACATCAATAAAACAAAATGGAAATTGACTGAAAACCAGAAACTTTTTGTGTCTGCATGCGTCCATGGCGAACACACAAAAGAGTGTTTAAGCAAGATCAAATGGAGGTAAATTACACAGCAGATGAATTCTTGTGGTCCGAACTAAGCTTAGAAAGTGAAAGAATAAATCGCCGTCGTGTTTATCTGTCTTCTGTAAAATGCAGCACTAGGAAATTTCAAGTTGTAGTCGTGCAGTGCCGGACAGCAACGAAGTGTACAGTGTGTAAGTGTAATGCACGCACAAATTTTTTGGTTGGTTATTAAGGTTATTAAACCTATCGCTTTTTAACGGTGTCCTTGCCGTCGCCATCGTTGTTGCTAAAACTTCCCTTTTCTTATTCAGTTGTACCGTATTTTGTATAATGAAACAGCCCTGGCAGAACAGACCCTATGAAGTAAGATGGTGTAAGATACTATGAACATTTACCTGGGACACAAGTGTATGATTGACACCTGTCAAGGATAGCGCTGAAGCATCGTCTGTTGATGTCACAAACTTGTTTTTCCTCACAAGGATTTGGATTGCAAGGGTGCGTCACTGCAAATCACATCACATAAAATTAATCTTAGTGCCTCACCTCAGTTATCCAAGAATAAAACTGATAATCAGACTTAAACGCTAACGAAGTTTTAAAGCAGTGAAGTTATGCATGGCTATGATTGCTACCAATTAAAATATTATTCACAGCTTCAAAGCTTTAATACCTTCATCTGTCACATCTTCATACTTGCTGGGTACTGAAAAACAACAATAACATTGTTCGCTGTTTTTAAATAGTTCTTCTCCGAAACACATTGACTCTGCTGTCAATTATATCAAAACACTTCCTACTGCATCAGAGATTTGTGTCAAGAGCTTGAAACGATAGGTATATGCACTAACAAATCAACCAAAAAAAAATATTGGAAAAAGAAATTTCTGAATCCTTTGAACACAAGACACAAAAGTTTCCAAACAAAAAGTGCTAATTACATAGTCAATTGCCCTTGCCATAGCGAAAACTTGGTTTTAGTTTACCAAAACTTCTTTATCAACAACTGTTGAAACACAATTTTCAAACTGACACTCAGATGACGTTACAAGGAGAAGGGCGTAGATGTTCGCAATCAGAACATTACAGAGCTTAAAAATAGGCTATAATAAAAGACATGTAAATACCTAAATATTCTTTGAGGGAAATACATGGTGCATGTTTGTCAGGCGGTGAGAGTGCATCACACACATCCTCAGCTGACAAGCCTCCCATATCAGAGCTTGAATTGCGACATCTTTGTAAAATTTCAACACAATCTGGCCTAAAAGTACAATATACATACAATTACACTCAGCTTAAAGATGGAAATAGGATAATAGACCTTCATGTAGTCTAGCTAAGACTAAGACTACGAATTGGCAACGGTGGGAAATGCTATATGGACAATCTTGGCCAATTTGACTTACAAACAATAGGTCTCTCAGACATGTTCATAATAAATCTTACTAAATGCTTTAATTTTCTGGCAGACCTAAACTCTGGGGTTAACTAAGAGTTTGAGTCCTTTAACAGCATACACTACAATCGACATATGTTAAAATTTACGGGTGTCCACACAGAAGTGCAACATCTCACAGCTGAAAAAACGTAAATTAATAATGACAGTCAGTTTCTACCACCAACCTGCAGATTGTGCTTCTGTGAGATTTAATGCTGCATGGCTTAATTTGAAGAATACAAGCAATTGCCTGGAAGGAGAGAAGCTCAATGGTTACTTACTACACAACAAGTCCTTCAATTATGTACATGTACATGAGCAATAATTATTATTATAAACTTTATGATGATAGAACAGTATAGTCTAAAAATGATAAGAAACATTACACAAGTCTGAGAAAAGAGGTATTAAGAAGTGAGCAAAAACAATCGCACCAACAAAAGCGAAAATCCTAGCCAACATTACAGCTAAGAAGACAGCACACACCTTCCATGTTTCAGGAAGACATTTCTTGATGTCCATAATTGGTATTTTGATATCAGAGTTAGGTATCTGGATGTAACCTTTAGTCCACTCTAGCATGTAACTCTTGGCATTTTTATCTGAAGCCCTTTTACAGCTACGGAACAGTTCAGTATGTCTACAATGCAATAACAACATACATCTAAGGATTAGGATTGATTGATCAGAGTTTCTAATAACTAAAGAAACATTTACACCTCAGAAAAGGCCACTAATTTAATATTTATCAAACAAATCATTGGGCCTTATTTTTATATGAGGCTAATATACTCATAAATCTAACCTCTGAAAGATAAAGCAAATTATGTTTGTATGCATTTGGATTTTTAACAGCATGCGTCTATGGAGAAAGACATGCGACTATTACAATGCAAAACAGTCTCATGTGCATGAAGCACTTAAGCCCCTCCCAAGCTCCTAATTTTCAGCATCACTCCAGGTCTTTTGATTGACTGTTCATGCGTACTTCAATACACAAAAATACAGACTGTTTTGTAGTCTATGACAATATTTAAACAAACCTGTTGTTGAAGTTTGTGCAAAAACTGAGCCCTGAGCAACCCAACTGGCATGGTTCAGTAACTGTAAACAAAACAATAAAATTGTAGGATCTTTATGTCTGAAACATTGTCTCCATGAAAACATTATCTCAATATCAGTTGTTACATCTATATCACTAGACCTGATCTATGGCAGGCTTTGACAAATAGCTCAGTTTGATGGCCATGCAGAGATAACAAACCATTCATTATTGGGCTGCCTGTGGCAGAGACAATTAAGTTTTCACTGGGAAGTCATCTCTATGTAAAAAAGTCAAAATGGCACACGCATAACCCATAATGATACCTGGAGGGAAATGGTTTGATCTTATACCAAATCCACTCAACTTTAAATTCTTTAAGGAAATTATAGAGATCAGTGTGAAGAATTGGATTGGAAGTGGATACTGGGAATTTAAGGGTTCAAAGTTTACTCACCATCAGCCAAACAGTTCATCATACTGACCTATAGAACAAGCACAATCAATTGATTCAGTACACAAGTCATGACAAATTTAATGATACCAAACCACTACAAGTATTTAGGAACTATGAATTATAAAGAAGCATTAAAATCTGGAGTGCATCATACCTCCCTAGGATTGTAACCACACTTTCCATCAAATTCACGCCAGTTCTGGTTCCTGCCCCAACTAGATTTGTACATCTATACAAATTCAACAAATTATTTCATGAGTCATGTGTTTGGATTTATGTCTATAATAGGTATGTAGTGAAATATACTCTGGGATGGAATCAACAACCTGGTAAATTACATACAAAGAAAAACCAAAGTATAATAAATGGCTAAAAAACTTCAGTGAATATAAATATTTTGCAGCCAAAAACTGAACCTACCACAGAAAGTGAAACCGGATGAAAATCCCGTACAGTCACTCAAGCCCTGCTTTACCGACACCCGCTTAATAATACAGACACCCCATTAATATGGACACTTTCTGTGGCCCCTTGAGTGCCAATATTAATAGGGGTGACTGTATTTTATAACAAATTATCAAACATTTTTTCATACCTTAGAAGAATAAATGAAAAAAGGGGGGATATACTTATGTTGCAATAAGACAGACTAGTTCCATTTGTCACCATAATATTATTATATAATTCCAATACTAATTTCAGAATAAAACAATCACAGGATCTTGAAAAATATTCGTTAAGAACAGAGGTACTTATAAAACAAACAAACCTGAATACAAAGACGCCAGCAGCCAGAATCTTTTGCTTTAGAACAGCACTGAAGTTTAGCACTGTCAATTCCTAAAACTTAAATCACAAAGACACCAAACTTTCAAACATTTTGTTTACACCGTGAGAACTAAACCATTATGAAGTATACCCCACTTACCCCTGCCCTCCACAAAAAGAAAAAGAAAATAACATTTAGACTTCATACCTAAAATAAATTATTTGAAATAAGAATGAACAAAAGCATTATTCATGGTGATTATAACTAAAAGATGTCTCTCGCTAAGTGTTTTTCTGTGCAGTCCAATGAAAGAATTTTGTCATTAAATGTAACTTTGCTAACATATGCAGGGCAAATTATATCAAATCAAGAAGGATAGCCATACACACCCACAGTTGTTTATTTCATCATTTTATCATAAAAGTTTTCCTTCAGCCTTGAAGCATATTAAAAGGTCAATTTAGTCCAATACAATTTATTTACCAGGTGATGGTGGCTGTGGTGTTCCTGTGGGACAAACTGGAGCTGTAAAAAATAACCATGAGTGTTACTGGTTAGAATTCAATTTTAACCTACATTGATTCTCTATTCCCTTGGCCTCCTTATTTACTCTATTTCATGAATAATATAATAAAAATTATTATTATTATTAGGACTAAAATTAAGACTACGAGACCAAGGGAATTGACAATTAGTGTAGATACAAGAAGTTTAACTATTTTTTTCATTACTAAGATTCTTCTACAAACTTACAGACACACTAGTATATTATAACATCAATATAGCCTTTAAAACTCTTATTCAAGTAGCCCTAAGTTACTTAACAGTTCTTGTAATTGACACCAGAAAAATTGCTACACTGATAAATGGTACTTAATTCATACTCACCAGGATTCTTTTCTGAATTTTCAATAAGACAGGTCCAAAACCCATTACGCTGAAGAGCAAAACAAAAGAACTCAAAACTAGTTCATCATCATTAATATCAAAAGTGAACTGTGCTTGACTTATTTTCTTTGATTTATTATCACAGTACTCTGAAAAAACTCTCTAACCTCGACCATTATTAGGACATAACAATGAGGAATGAAAAGTGGTATTGTAAACTGTAAAAAATATATTTAATATTGGTGACCATGTTAGACCAACAAGCAGTAGTAAAAGTCAAGTATACCTTTTCATTGTTTTGTGCAAAAGGGTCTCCACAAGCCTTAACTAGATTTGAAATCATCGCAGTGCCACTTTTCTGGGACTGGAGGTCCTAATACAATGCAAATAATATATTAATGAAATAATACCAGATTTAAAAGAAAAACATAACAAGAAAAATTACAGGTGTTCACTTAATACAATGACATACCTGCCGGCAAGTTCTTTTACATTTTAGATCATCATTTTGAAGTCTTTTACAGCATTTCAAAACTAAAAGAAAAAACACAATTAACACCTCTCACATAACGTGAAACAAGCAAACAAAGAGGACACTTATAATATATTTTTTTTAAATAATAATAATAATAATAATAACAACAACAACAATAAATAATCACCTTTACGTCTTGAATCTGATTCTGGCACTGTCGGAAAGAAACACACTTTAGAATTCATGTTAACAGAAAACCATTTATTACAAACATTAGCTTTCTACGGTCAAACATTACATTTATTAAATGTCTCTTGAGCAAGCAAAGAGGTCTACACAAGATAAGAGTGGTTTCACTGCATTGGTTGACCATGTAGTCACCCATGCAACTCCAAGGGAACATGATTACTGATTGGAGGATTAACTGTACTGTACTGTACTGTACTGTATGTAGCTTGTACAACTTATAAATTTACAAAAAACAAAACATTACATTGGCAATATCACATTTTTCAATAAGAAAAATATCATTTTCCATAAGAATCCGATTTTTAGTCTTAAATGTTTATCCAAGACTACACCTAATAACTATGCATTGTACCGAGAGAGCATAAATAAAATTGACTCACCAGAGCATGACTTCACGCCAGCAGTGACGTTAGCTACACAAGATATTACATGTTGTGCATATCTTGCACAAGTCTTTTTCACATCATTCTTTGCCTTAAGTGATGGGGGTTGATCTGATGAAAATACCTGCCGAACGAATCACTGAAAGTTATTATAATTTATACAGCAGGGTGGAGGGAAAGTACATGTCAAATCTAACCTTATGTAGGAGGTGAGATAAAGGAAGTTGCAAGCAGAAGCCCTGCCCTACACAGGTGTTAAGTACCCCCCCCCCCACCCCTCACTCCACCACACCCCTCACAATCTTATTTACTGCTTTCAATAACCCCTACATATCAAACTATCACTTCAGTTTAATACCCTTATTCATGTCCAGTACATGCCTTTCTTCATAAATTAACTTTGGGTTATATGTACAAAACCCATGACAAATATAGTTGGTCTTTTTTCTTAAAATGAAAGATTTTTCTTATGAGGCTTAAAGTGCAACAACCCAAGCCAAGGCACTTGGAAGAAGATTATCCAATCACAACGTTTTTTGAAAACAAAAGATTCTTATGTTTTTTTTGCAAACAAACAATAAAATGTAAGGTTCAGCTATGCACCCATTGGAAACTTTAAACTGTTTGAACCTACTTGACCTCTCAGGAAACAGCCCTCAAATTTGTGAATGTTAATGGTCCATTTGCGTAAAAAAATTGAGAATCTTTTGTTTTCAAAAATGTTGTGATAGGATAATCTTCTTCCACATGCCCGGTTCGGGTAGTCACACTGTAAAATGTTGCTAAACTAAATCTTTGGTAGAACACGGATTTCATGCCATACTGCAGGTGATTATCTTATACATGAGAAGTCAGGGTTTTACTCAATATCCTAATATGGCAGGCAGGCAAACCAATCAGCTTGCTTAAAACACCAAAATCACTAGGTGGGTGTACATATTAAAGATGTTTAATTTAAAATAATGCATTAACCCAAAATTTACAATGTATTAATTGTTAACTATGGCTTATAAGCCAGGCTGGACTTATACATCTGTGAAGGGTTTTAGGACAGCTTATAAATGGAGGGGCTTATATCCAAGAGGGAGTATAACTAGAATAGAAAAAGCCCTTCAAACAAGCTACAGCAGTGCAGTGCTGTGCTGATCAAAATATGTTTTGCATTACAGGTTTTTTATTAACCCTTTCGTTCGCAAGTTCCTGGGAAGGAAAAGGCCGCCAAAAATACTACCAACAAAAAATTTAGTTCTTATTATGGCATCAATCTTGATAGTATGATGTCAAAAATTGATGCAGACTGTTTAGGGATACATTAAATTGAAACTACCATGCATTTGGTACCAGAAAACCAAATAATTTTATCCTATTTTTGAGAATTTTTTTAAAATAAATACTTGACAAAAATATGTCTCAAAAGAGTTGCCTATAAAGTTTATCCCCGCATGATTACTCCACACAGCAACATATCTCAAAGCCAGTAAGAAAGATCGATCCAATGTCACACAAGCTTTATTTTGGACCAAGAAAGCAGAATAAACAGTGTTAAAACTATGAAAGAATGGCTAAAACCTTTGACTAGTCGATGCAAAATGGTGCTATTTGTATATGTTTCTTTGTAAAATGACAAATTTTGCTTTGAGTTACCTTTCAAGCCTATAAATCCAGCACCTTTCCTCGACAGCACCACACACTTAAATATTCAACTGTTTGAATCTTAAGCCTCGCGGTTCGCTGAAGAATTCATCGAAAAACACGACCATTACCGAGAAAAATCCCCAAAAATATAACTGAAGCTGAAAGATCTTCGTCTTCCGTCGCCATTATTTGAGTTCGCGTGCTGCTGAGGTCAATAAAATGTCGAAAATTTGACCAAAATTGATCATACACACACAAAATGTTGCCCGTGTTTTTCTCTTCTTGATCTAGTCACCACAGGCTACCCAGGACTCATGCAAATGCACGCTGACCATTTTTCTGCAGGCCCCTTATGATCGTGTTAAGCGCCAAATCTTCATGATAAATCAAACTCATTTTAATACAAGTTAGACAGGCGTTTATAATTGGATGATTTTTTGTTTACAGGTAGATGGGCCTAAAACTGGGTGGGGGAGGGAAGGGTGCTTATATGTGGTCATCATTTACAGTATATGCTTACCACTTGACAGGCCTTCATACATTTTGATGAAGTACTCCTACAACAACGTCTTGATGCTGCAGTGCCAAAAACATTCAGTCAAAATACTACAAGAAAATTTTCGTGACTTAAAATTAACTTTTCTTTGTACACTAAGACACAAGCAACTCACCCTGATATCTTTCAACACATCGAAACATGGCACTCTAANAATCCCCAAAAATATAACTGAAGCTGAAAGATCTTCGTCTTCCGTCGCCATTATTTGAGTTCGCGTGCTGCTGAGGTCAATAAAATGTCGAAAATTTGACCAAAATTGATCATACAGACACAAAATGTTGCCCGTGTTTTTCTCTTCTTGATCTAGTCACCACAGGCTACCCAGGACTCATGCAAATGCACGCTGACCATTTTTCTGCAGGCCCCTTATGATCGTGTTAAGCGCCAAATCTTCATGATAAATCAAACTCATTTTAATACAAGTTAGACAGGCGTTTATAATTGGATGATTTTTTGTTTACAGGTAGATGGGCCTAAAACTGGGTGGGGGAGGGAAGGGTGCTTATATGTGGTCATCATTTACAGTATATGCTTACCACTTGACAGGCCTTCATACATTTTGATGAAGTACTCCTACAACAACGTCTTGATGCTGCAGTGCCAAAAACATTCAGTCAAAATACTACAAGAAAATTTTCGTGACTTAAAATTAACTTTTCTTTGTACACTAAGACACAAGCAACTCACCCTGATATCTTTCAACACATCGAAACATGGCACTCTAATGAAAACAAAAAAAATTAACTTGGTGAGCACAGTACACTTTAGAAGTGATTGTTGATGTTAACTAAATATAATTATATTAAATCATTCCTTTGCCATCAGGCTCTGGTTGTTCAAACATTTGATAGCGCTATCCAGCGGATAACACAATTAGTTTCCTTAAGACTTATCTGCTGGATAATGATTTATCCAATGGATAGCGCTATCTAATGTTTGAACAACTGGGGCCAGGTTTGTATGTAAGGTTTAATGTCAGTTTCCAAAGGAAATGACTGAACAGTCAACCACCCTTGGGACTGGCCCCAGCTGACAACTTGAGCTGAGTCTGTCTTATAGCGTTAGGTTACAGTAAAATGAGTGAAAAGAAGCAAGGAAGGGTCGCTGGGATCACCACCAGGCAACTCTTTATGAAGCTGTCAATCTTAGATTAGAGGTGTCCACTTAGAAAGAGATAGAAAGTTGACTCTGCACTCATCTTTGTAAGGCACCTATGTTTTAGAGCTTGTGGAGAAGCTGCCATTAGCCAAAAATGTAAGTGTTAAGCAGACGTTTTCATTGTCACGCCATCACAAACCAGACCAAGTACTACTTAGTATTAATAAATTTGTAATGGGCATGTTTCTTCAATTCTTGACATGGAGATAGCAGTTGCAACACAATACTAACTGATGGGAAGAAAATTAACACCACAAAACTCTACCAGTGGCATTAAAGTTTAAAACAAAATTGAACGAAATCTTTTGCATGACGATATTACCTGTGCAACTCCTGTGAAAATTAAAATTTATTTTCTTGGGCTCCCATAAGAACCTTTTGTGGAGTTACTTCATATAACTTATTACACTTATGGCTCTCGAAAAGTGTAAAAAAAATGCGATATGGCTCAAAATATTCTTGTACAAGCTTTTTGTCCCCTGAAAATTAAAATTACTCAATTTCCTGATGAATTCCGTCTTAATCTATCCAAGAGAAACTGCTGGGTTAAAATAAAACAAAATCAACTCAAAAAAAGATAGAAAATTACAAAGAAATGCAGTGCCTCACAGAGAGGTCTGGATACAGACAGAGCCTGCATGTAGATGTGGGCAGGCCATGGCTTACTAACGATGAACAATGAGAACAAACTTTTAGCATAACAATCACCACCCATGAGGCTGTTACTTAATTACCTCTTCCAACTTGGAGCAATTTGATTTCGGATCATCCAGTTTTCCTTCTCGACATGCACGGCGACATTCAAGAGAGCTTGAAAGAAGGCAACAGGTTCTGGCATAGTTGGAAGGACTTGTTCCAATGTAAGGACTGATTTCTGCCAAAAAAGATACAAATGAAAACTTATAAGAAAAGTTTGAAAACAACCCAGAGATTAGTTAATAATCACTGACCTTGCTGCTTTAAAAAATACCACCTGGGGATTTCAACTATTAGCAACAAAACTGAAAAAGGTTTATCAATGTCTTAACACATAAATAGTCCATTTAACACTCTTTTACTTAAGTAGTTATTTTGATTCTGTCATATTGAGTGGGTAGCAACACAGGCTTAAAAAGAGGTTTATTATAATGAAGATGCCACCTACAAGACAAAATATTTCTAAACACATTACTGAATATTTCCCCCATAGTGTCTCTCAAATACTACTTGCCCTCCTGGGCATCACAAGACAAAAAAAAACAACAAAGTATCCCATTAGCAGCTGCATGTTTCAGAGACCAGATGCCATTGTGAGCTTTGAAACATGAAAACAAAAGGAAACAAAGAAGCACAAAATGGCCCCCTCTCTTAAAAGGTCTAATAATAAATATTGTGGTACATTACACAGTCCACAGGAAGCACTGATAAGTAGGTGACACATACCAGAGATGCATTGATTACAGACGGGATCAGTGAACTCTAGGATTGGGTTTTGCCAATAAGTGACTTAAGTTGAGAATGGGCAGCTGGTTACATAATGGGATTTATAATGCTTTGTTAAAACTTCTGAATTAACAAGTCAATGTTTGACTGGACTCAAACAAAAGACTGGGAAGGAAAAATTATTTGGGGAAGATACATTCCATTATCTTTCTACAAAAGTCTTAACAAATAAAAGATCTTGAACAATCAGAACAGTTTACTCCATGCCACATGTAAACGGCTCACAGTACACAAATAATTTTTTAAACAGAGGTATTATCATGATAATTTCAATGTGATGGATGGCCATCCAAATTATTTTGACAACCTTGCACAAGGCTGTTTGAAAGCATTCAATTCCCTGCAGTGTAAATTACCTTTTAAGCATTCTAGAACCAGAGAAAACAACATTAACAATATATCCAAAATATTTGTTTAAAAAGCACTGTAGCAAAGTGTGTATAAATTAAAAATGGCACCATGGAATCTATAAAACACTTTTAACTCAATTTAAGACATGTTTGTAACAAAAAACATTCAGTGCAGACAATGATTCATCCCATTTCCCTATTCACACCCAAAGCCTCTAATCTTATTCATTAAGAAATCCATACGTACACAATATATAACACAATAATAATCACATAAAGCTTACTAAAACACCAATGCTTTACTTTCTAAACTTTATCAACCTTCCAGAAAGTATTAATGAGTTCAAATCAGCTGGTTAAGGCATTTACATATACTTAAGTCTATAGAAATAACTCTTACTCATAAATTTTTTTCCCAACCCAAAATGTAAGAAAAACTTTGGTATTTGAAATATTTTGGCACCTTCCCATTTTTAACATCCATCATCATCAATACAGTTTACAAAAAAATCAATACGCTTCCCAAACCATTGTCAATGCATTTGGCGAGTAAAATCAGGGTCAAAGTTCACAAGCACAATCACTTGAGCAAGACATAATCAATTTTTTGATAAGAAACCTAGTGTCTATGTATGTTGATTGCATTATAATTCAGTTTTAAAATGCATGGTTTTGTCTCAATTACACACAATGTCTACCCACAAAGTAGCATTCAAGACTCAGCTAATTACTGTTGCTTCCCATGTATGAAAGCTTTTAAATCATTAACCCAAATAGGAAATCGAAATATTCAGTTCGTAAAATCTGTATAAATACATTGTACGAACTACACATTTATCCATGAGTTACACTGCTTATATTGTGTACGGTCTATATAATTAAGCAAGGAGGCACTTCTTCAAGTTTAAGGTGTTTTTATAGATCAATATAAACATTCACTAAGTGAAAAACGAACAACATACATAACTATTCAAAAATTAGATTATATTCAGTTTTAGGATTCAGAGCAAATTGCATGTTTAAATGTTTATTAACTCTCTTAAGATAGTTGCACTGTGTGTATCTTTCTTCACTGACATTATCTCCATTTTTTTTTTCCAGTTGTGCCCTGGGTTGCCATTTATAAATGTGTATTGAACCACGTGCACAAGTAGCTTAATATCCAAGATCGTCTGATCTATGGAGCTGATAGATATGTCACCTACAAAATAACTGTGATGGAAAATATTGTTAAAAATTTAACAATTTGTTTTTTACTCTACAAGGAGAATTCCTAGATCTGTGCCAAGATTTAAAAAATGTCAGTACTAGCGATAATAATTCCAGTTTTTTTTATTATTATCATTATTTCAATGTACTTCACACGGGTTTTTAAAAAATTGAACCAAATTATTCATTTTTAGTTGACAGCTTTGAGCCAAGGGCGGCAGAACTAAAAAATGAACAACATTGAACAAAACTGCACTGCTTGGGACTGAACAATAGAATGCATAACACTGAACATGATATGACAGTGAACTGATGAAAGAAAAACGAGTTAAAATGTTTAAAATAAAGCACATTTGCAAAAGCAGATGGATTCCTGATACTTTAAAAGGATTACTTGATAAAATGATCGTTTTTTAGCTACTTAAAAGCTTTGTGGCTGATACCTTAATATTTAAATGGACTGCAAAATGTTCCAAAATCAAAATTTACTTGCCACGGAGATATCAGATTTCTAATCTAAGATTAAGCTCAAATCAGTATCTGAGATTAAGTTATTTGCTACTTTATCCTTATTTCTTAATGGAGTTCATATAGAAATTTATGTAAAACGAAGCTTTATAAAAGACCAAATGGAACAAACATGATAGAAGACTTTTGCCCAGTGCAAAAATGATATCGTACACCAGAAAGAGTAGAAGGCACAACTTTGCTTTTATCCTTCCATCAGAAAATCTTTTGGTTAAGAATGAAAAACTATACTGGCGATATGATCTGGCAGTAAATGAAATGAAACCCGATCGACACATAAAAAGCATTCTTGTTCTCTTTTGTGTATGCCTGCGACATTTCTTGATGGCCATCTTGCCTAATTTAGCGAAACATAAAACAGTTACCATCGTAATCCATGTACCATAAAAATGACTCTTTTGGAAAAGGCGACAAACAAATACAAGTCGGATACTACAAAAAGAAAGAGCTTTGATGTGTAAGCTTACAAATACAGTAAGATGTAAGCTTACATCGTGTCGAACAAACTACATCAGTGTTGGTCGCCCAAAGCAAATTATTTCAATGCCTAGATAAAATAATATTAACACCCCATTAAAACGCATAATTTCTCTTCTATTCCCAAACAAAAGATCACTGCCAAATCGCTCTGTGGGGGGAATCTTGTGAAAACAGATTGAACAAAACCATTTAGAGGAATGTGGAATAGTTCTTGACATTAAACAGAAGTGGCATCACGATGCAATTCTCGAATTCAAACAAAACGCTTTTAAAACGAAAATTAATTCTTAATTCAGGTTGATTAAGCTTAATTATTTATACTAGCCTCTGGCTGATCTCAAAAACACAATTTTAGTCTTCAGAAAAACCAAAAACTAACACCATCGGTTTCAACTTGATAGCCCCACAAAACCGTATATGATTTTCTTCTGTCCACGATACAAAAAATACTTGCCCTTTCAAGTGTTGTATTTTCGAACGCTAAAATACTTCGCATACAATCATGCAAACCTTTCTTAACGGTTCATGGTCCCGAATGGAACGAAAAAATAACTGGCCAAGAAAAAACAATGCCACAGCCCAATTAATTTGCCATTAAGCCCGCTTTGCATTGGAGATGATGCTATGTTAAAAGGTTGCTATTAACAGCGAGTCAATGATAAGAAAAAAGCGCGCTCAAACACGTGGGATTTTGCTTTGACAATTATGAAGTAATCAGTTACATCTAAACTGAAGGAACTCCAATCCACTGACAAAAGTAGAGTAAAAAATTAAACCTCACCAAAGCCAGGATAACGCTGATAAATTCGGAACGCATGGATAAACACTCACATACATAGCCACGCAATCGCGCGACCTTTCGGACGTAATTCGCTTGAAATCTAATTCTCACCTCGTTACTTTTAAAGCGCAAACGACTATAGTGTCTGTGAAAGTTAAAAGTACACACAGTTCACAATATCATGCATCTCTTTAACGTTAAAAACGAAGGCGACGAAACTTAGACCGAAGCTAATTGGCCTATTATACAAAGCAAGACCTTTATTTGCAGAAGTTATTAGTGGAAATTAAAGTGACAATGCAAGCAGATAGGACTAGCTACTCCTACACACGTCTTACCTGGATTTGAATCATTAAGGCACCGCCAAAAGTAAACCTGAAACAAGAGGATTAGAAGAAACAGAATTAGTGTTATGGGCGGTGAAAAAGCCGGTTATCTATTGCACTTCTGCAGGGCATTTGCAGATAATTGTTTTCCTCTTTGATACTCACGGAAAGGCGACAAAGTACTTCTTCAAACAAACAGAGAATATCAAACTTTACTCACCAAATGGCCAGGGCAATGTTTGGGAAGTTCACGTAATTTCTGGTAGCGTAAACTGAGGTCTCCTTCGGTTTCCAACTGACAGAAGGGAATCAAAACAACATACACAGATGTTAGTGGTAAGCATTTGAATTCAATTTGCCTCCGGTCTAAAATAAACTTGCATAAGTGTGAATACAAAATGCACAGAAAAATTTCGCACTCGACGTATTTGAGGACGATAAAAAAGAACAATTTATTTACAATGAACCATTGCTTTTCAGTTCGCTTGGATTTTCAAATATGTCCCGCCGGGCAAGATAAAAGAGATCGTATGTAGCATGAACATTACCTCATTACAGTGATGTTGGCAAGCTTCAAATTCAGCGGCATTGGAGCAGCAACTGATGGCTGGAAGATGAGCTGTGAGATAAAATAACCAAAAAATTATAAGTGTAAAAGACTTCTGAACAACTGCAGTAACGAATTATGACGGTGAAGTCGATCCATTTGACGTAAATCCCAGCTACCCGCAGACCAAAAATCGAACCACCGGAAATTTACATTCAATTCAATGCGAGAAGATTCACTCGGATTCGCGTGGTTGTCTTAATTATTTCTTCTGTTAAATCCACAAACCGTGATTAATTCTAACAAGCTAAAACCAACAGAGCTAGCAGTTCACAAAAGAGCCGGCTAAGGCGCGAGATTAGCCGACCCGGGAAACGATCAAACAGCAGAATCCCTACTAAGCAGGATTCTAGCGGTTGTAAGGTGAATGAGCGCACACGGAAAGGACAAGAAATCATGTCGAAAATAATCAGGGAATCGCTTCGTGTTACACAGTACCTTGGCCACTGCTACTTCTCAGAAGAGTAAAGGCGAGCCACAGTGTGCTAAAGAGCACGAACATGTTGTCGGGGAGAGATCAAGAGCTTCATGGACTATGTCGAGCACTTTTCCAGTCTAAAGAATATCAACCGATGCATGGTTAGTGTTATAGAAATGATGGCAGATATGCGCCTCTCAAAAGTAAGCCATTCAACAACCAATCACATCAAACAGCCAATTAGCGGGAAATTGTTGCGAGCGAAAAGAGCCAATCAGGAGCGTGTATTCAGCAGGACGTGTGACGCTTCAGTGTTGTAAAGCATCCCACTTAGTTTGTTTTGGGTTTGTGAGCTGTAATCGGGATAATGGATTAAATCAGGATGTTGTGACAGCTCAAAAGGCTAAAAAATGACCTAGTCTCTTGTTTGTTTTGCATTGTCTGCTTTATTTAGAATTCAAACTCTGCTTCCCTTAATGTGGATTAAGACAGTTTAAAGTGTTCCAAATAAATGAAACAGTCAATCGAACGTTGTCGTTTGGATGGAATCCGTAAAATAATATTCTTCGGATGCGAGCGAATATCCCAACCATCGATTGCGCCTCCTCCAACCCTTGAACAGTAACGAAAACCCGTTCCTTGTACAACATTGACATAAAAAGATACTTTAAAAACATTTCCTGACAAATTCAGAATTTGAGTGTGTTTGAAAGTCGTCTCGAATTTTCCTTTCACTTTGTTTCAGACTTCAAAGATAAACTTCGTCATATCTCTTAGTCCTTTGTCAAGAATTCTGAATTACGCACAAAACCCGGTCGAGGTTGTCATATGAAAGGAAATTATCTCGCAGTAAATATTCATCCTCTTTACTTTATATTACCCAGTTCGAGACTTTCGTGACATCCTCTATTAATAAACTGAAGGTGGTCGCTCACAACTAAGGCTTTGATAGTGACAACCTGTCAATAGTGTTAGCGAAAATGCATCCAAAATTGCTTTTAGATTTGGAAGAGTGAACGGAACGAAAATGTCGATGGCGCTCTAATGAAAGAACCAAAGTAATGAGCTGTACGATAACTCAAGAATGCAAACAACCCGATCGAAATCCATACATGTTTTTTAACTGCCATTAATACAAGCTGATATGATTATGACAAAGAAGTTTTCAACGCTTTTACGAGAAGAGCTGAATTTGCATATAAAAAATATAGACTTTTCAAAATGATAAAATATTATTCCTCAGTTTTCTCAACAAAAACAGATCTCAACTTTCACTTTCCGATCTCTAACTTGCTAAGCTTAAACTGTTTTTATTTGTTTTTCGAAATGTGTTTACTCTTCACTTCACAAAGGTTTGAAAAGTCAATTCTTTTTTAAAAAGCGTTCTTTTTGCCCAAGGCGATGTGATTGACTAAAGAGCATATTTGACATGTGTATTGTTCGTTTTCATCTAAACTGTATATACTTCTCGAAAGCTTTTACGCATCCATAATTGATCGAAATACGAATTTTGCCTCCAAATTAAAACGTACTTTTTGAAGACAAAGTTGATAGGAGACACTCAAAATGAAATATGCACTCTTCACAAAATGTCAATATTACAAAACGAACGACACAGTGAAGATAAATCAGGCTGTACAATGGTTGATCAAGTCATTATCTCTTGCGGTTGGTAGAATGTTAACTCAGTATTAACCCACTCGAGCGAAATTCCTTTTTTTCAGTGAGATTATAGCCGGGTGCTCTCGCTAAGCTCAATCGAGGCCTGAAGGCGTGTTTTTCGCAAAGCCGTTGCTGAGTACTTACGAAAGAATTTCATAGTTTTTCTATACCACACTCGACTGACTGAGTCTTGTTTCACAACAGTCGAGAGAAGAGAAGAATAAAAAAACAAACATTTTTCTCGGACTGAGGTTTCCTATAGGAGAATCAATTTGCTGAGGGCGCCATTTGACCACAAATCTCCTAATCGTCCAGCCTACATCCTGCTTTTTAAATGTCATTACTTCTCCTTTTGCATACATAATGCTCTCACATTAAATGTAACCGACTTGGCTTTAATCACGCCTTTCCTTATCGGACTTGATCCAATTTTTTATAATCTTCTTTTATTCCACGGTTCTGTAGGTGTTAATGTGATTGCTATTTAAGTATGCAAACCGATGCTTTCACCAGAAAGATATTTTATCGTTTAGATCCAGGTCGGCTTTTCAGTGCTATCGATCATTTATTTATTTATTTATTTATTTATTTATTTATTTATTTATTTATTTATTTATTTATTTATTTATTTATTTAACCATACTGTCACTGAAAAAATCCCATCGGCCGACTGCGTCGACTCAAAATGTGTTCAGGTGATCGGACGATCATCTGGAAACAACTTCGGGCACGATGTGGCCGCGACGATCGATCCGGAGCTGAAGTCTTGATATAGGCTGCATGCTGGCCATATAACCTCCTGGTGTTATTATGATCAAAAGTTTTTGTGACAACCGGTCTTTTTAGCCTAGGAACGTACGTATATACAATTCTCAACAACTTAGTAATGAACATAAGTAAGAGAGAATGAGCTCTTTTGACATAAGTTACTCACGAGAAAAATAGCCTTCAAAACAGTAGCCCATCCTGCTTTTTTAAAAAAATGTACATAGAGGACAGTGAACAGTAGCCCCAATCCCCTCTTTTTGCCCACCAAACCCACAGGCTACTTGAATAGTGGGCAAAGTCAATGACTCACTACCCGAAGCCATGTTTTCAAGAAGAGATTTCCACAGGCATTTTTTTCCTACGTTAATTCTCTTGCCCTTTTCTAACCTTGACAACGAGAATGTTTATCTTAGAGCGACAGACGTAAAGTTAATAATGTTTGAAGACACTGATAAGTTGTGTTTCAAGATTTAATTCCTCATCTAGTTACGTCGATATCTAGATCAGTTACTTACACAGGAAACCATGCTTTTTGTTGTTGTTGTTCGCACTCACCACGCCCCTTTCTGTGGTCATCGTCTCCCGGCCATGGACTTGGGAGCTAATTTTCATTCATTTATTTGTTATTTGTTATGTTTTTATTTTGGCAATTTGAGCCTCAAACTATTAAGGGCGCCAAACGGATTCTTGTCGGGAAAAAAGTCAAATGGAATGATCAATGAAGAGACCTTACGCTTGCCCTATCCTTTCTCAACGATCTCAATCCTCGTTCCCGTGTCTTGATTATTCTAAATTTGCGAAAAAGGGCAATCAGCTCCTGCCAAAAAACACGTCTATGTTCGTTTTAATGACAACAATGTGTTGGAAATCAGATTTTTAAAATCAATCTAACCAGCATTACAAACGCCGTCTATAGGTCTCTTTGGTTTGAGCGGGAACCTCGGGTTCAACCCCCGGCCGAATCACAAACCTGGGACCTGTTTCTAGCCCAACAAGCTGCTTTGTGATTGCCGTGTTTAAATTTATGATCAAAGTTTTAATAGTTTTGAAGGTAAGTACAACAAAACTATTAGTTAAAGAAACAAGGAATCGGGCTCGCGTGCTCAGAAACACAACTTGATCCACCAATTGGACAGGTTGGTGAGCTAGGACTAGCACTATTTTTCCTTGGGTTTTTTTATTTTAAAATTTGACTTCGGACCCGAAAAGTTACCTGGACTTTCGAGAAACGAAACTCAGGGCGAAAACTGATTAAAAAATATACTGGCTGTGTCTGATGATCACGTCCAACGGCGGCGTGAATTGAGGTCTTGGCCTTGTCTCCTTAGTCATTCTTCTACTATTCGGTTAAATCAGCAGCTTATTACCAGGAGCCTCCATCTCCCATATAAGCCCTTGGAGTTAACCCTTTCCCGTTTTAATTTTTCAGGATAGAAACAGCTTTCGCGGAATATTGTTCACTTGAGCAATATCCAGTCAGAGTATTGCTCCTGGTTATATTCGAAGGGGAAAAAGATCGACTTACATTACTCTTTGAGATTATGGATTCTCTTCGGTTGCGTAGCACTGAGAGGAAAATTGATTCTGTTCACAATTATTTTAGCTGTTGATTATTTGTAAGATGCTTTGAATGATTGTTTAACCAGGTATTTCTGAAAGCAATTGTATGTTTAATGTGTGCAGACTGGAATTAGTATTTTTGTATAAATAAAGGCTGCTTTGTACAGATGTTGTATGCAAGTCATTGTCGGTAGTTACGCTTCCTTTTCCGGATATAAGTTTAACTTAACCTTGTAACTTATACTTTTTATTATTTTTTTGACCTTGTAGGTAGGTCGTGGAGTCCTACCCAGGTTTCCTCAATTTTTCCCGCCCTTTTCGCGGTTTTCGCGGTTTTTTAAACTCCGTTTGTTAGTCTGATGTATTGTTCGCAATTTTGTTTCTTAGGCTCAGCTTCTACCACGGCACCGTTAACCAGAAATAATGCTAGTTGTTAGACGTGTGTTGTTGGGAAGACTGTTGTTTAGAAAAAATAGAGAGTTTACCAGGAAGTGAAGTCTTTCTCTCCCACTGTGAGCCCTTCACAAATTTCATGGGTTGGGAGGGTTACGGTAAGCTCATAAAGGACGATAATAACAGCGGCAATCAATTACGCCTTAATATTTGCTGTTGTCAGAGCTGTTTGAATCAAAAAACAATGAACACTGATGAAAAAAGGACATATGTCAGTTGTTATGTGTTCCTGCCAGCTGCTTCATATTATTTAAATTGCTTCAATTTCTTTATAATTCGTAAGAAACGCTTTTGACGTCAAGGATAATTAACCTTTATATACCTTTGATACGAGTCCTGAACTCTGTTTTTCCTTCTACCTTTTTATGCCAACGTAATGTGACAAATTTTTCTTTGCCTGGAAGCTTTTTGAAGTACTTGACACATTGGGAAGACCGTAAAGAACTGAGCAATGTTTCCGTTAACTGACTACATCAAATCTTCAGAGTATTTTATGTTTACACATATGCTTTGGGCTATTTGAACTGTCACCAAAGACTGACAGTGATTTATAGAAAAGGCCATCAGCTGTCACTAAAGGCAATTTTTAGTGTACAATGTAATTAAAATGATAATTTTATCTTAATGATTTTCGTTAGAGCGAATGCGTGATAGGAAGCTTTAACACTGGACTTTGAGGACGTCAAGTCACTTGCAAAGTTGCCTTCTAATTACGGAATTAGCAGGGGCGGATCTAGGGGGAGGGTGCAGGGGGTGCGCACCCCCCCCCCCCTTGAAATGAGCTGCGGCTTTCTAATTAACACTGTGCAGTCTGCTTCACAGTTATACAAAATCTGCTTTATCATTTGATATGTATTCTCAGCAGTTCACATATGTTATTGCCTAGTCGAAAGCCTTCTTCTTCGTATTCGCTATTAAACATTGTTTACGTCACCAATCAATTACGCCATTCCTTAGTAGTGCACCCCCTCCTACGAAAAATCCTGGATCCGCCTCTGATTAGGGGTGGCGAATGGTAAAATCCGAGACCCGCCGAGACGCCGAGACCCTAGTTAGAAATCCCAGCCCGAGACTCTTAGGTAAAAAGTTTCGAGACTCAAAAAAAGTAAAAACAAACCATGCAAAAACGAGACTTCGAGTTCTCTCTTGTCGAGACTTATCAAAAACGCTTCCGAGATTTCGAGATCCTGTTAAAATTTTCCGAGACCCACGTTTTTCGAGGTACCATTCGCCACCCCTGGAATTCTCTGCGACAGAGCAACAAGTATATCAGGACCGTACCAAAAGGAGCCGCTCTCAGTCACGAAAGTATAGCCGGACTCAGTGCATTGGATTAGTTTGATTTTGTTCGATTTTGTTCGGTTATATTGGTTCGATTGGTTCGAAAATCGAACTCACAGCAAAATAGGTGTTCGATTTTGTTCGATTGCCCAACCCAATCGAACGATTGGAGTTCGATTGGGTTCGATTGGTTTTTTGTTCGGTTTTGTTCGATTGGGAAGGTCGGGTTGAAAAGCACCAACATCGAAATCATTTGTTAAATTCAACCTTGCAAAAATCGAAGGCCTCTAAATAAGGCAACAAAGCTGGTTTGTGGCTTAAATTTAACGTCCAATGTATACCCTGGAATATAGCTGCCCAGAGTATCACTGGTATTGAACAGAAAGATTACATAAAGTATTTGGGAGTTTATATAGATAAACATCTCAATTGGCAACCACAGATACAACATGTAAATAATAAATTAGCTAAAAATTTAGGAATCCTTTCAAAACTAAGATATTACATAGACCTGAATAGACTGAAACAAATTTATTATGCTTTAATATTTCCCTATTTGAGTTACGGTATTCTTGCTTGGGGCTGTGCCAGCAAAACCAGATTAGATTGTCTTCGTATTAAGCATAACAAATGTCTCCGCACCATCTTCTTTGTACATCCTAGAGAGAGTGCGGCTCCCTGTTTCAAATAGCCTGCATAGCAAGCGTTTCCTCGCGAGTTCGTCGAGAAAGTTGGGACGAGAGCAAAAAAAAAAGAAAGGACGGGGGAGGGGGAGGGGGCTCTGGAAACGCTTGCTACGCAGGCTATGTTTCAAACTCCTAACAATCCTTAAATTAGATAATATATATAAATTAAAAATATGTTGCTTTATACATAGAATGAGAAATGAGACTGATAGCATTCCAGATATTTTCCTTGATGTCCTGACTCCAGCATCGCGTATACACAGTCATAATACAAGATTTGTCAGTAATCTGAACTATTTTAGGCCAAGAGTATCCACCAAGTTAGGTAAGACGTCCTTTAAATTCTCCGGTCCAAAAATCTAGGAGACTTTACCGCCTGGTCTCAAGTGCCTGCCATATCATAAGTTTAAGAAAGAATGGAAGTCCTGTCTTCTAACCAACCAAATCTGACCTTGCTTATATGTTCTATCACTGATATTATTTGAGATTTTATTCCTCTCTTTACTGCTGCCAATTATTTCAACATGACGGTGTCCAACAAGAAAGCTCTTGCTACTTTGGATACCGTACACAAATGAACTTAATGTCTTTTAGTTAATTATTATTTGTCAGCTACTTTATTTTCCTACCTACGTACACTTATGTAAATATCTTATATAGTGTGAATAAAGAATTGAATTGAATTGAATTGAATTGAACTGACAGACTAGCCATAAAGTAATAGATATCCTGCGATCACGCCCTCCAAATACTAGTCTAAAAATGCCTCGTGAATATAGTCAGGTACTTTACACAAATAGCAGGTAACATCGGGGCCGACCTCGTGTAACCAGAGGTCCGTAGTTTGGGGGGGAAAGTTAGTGTTCAAATTCCCCGCTACTCGAGCCAAAAAGCTCAAAAACACCGTTCACATAGATCCATTTTAGGGGATCAAATTCCCCCTCCCATCCCGAGAGGAAATTATCAGGGACCATCTTACTATTTTAACACTAGTAATGTAGCTTTCTAATGCTGTTGAAGCCGAGTCTGCAGACAGAGCAAAGCTTGGGTAATCCTTTGGATTTTAGCCGTTCCACCATGAAGCTGCAATCCCCAAACTCGCCGTGTGGAGCCCGAGATCACTGATTTATCACGCCTCGCTCGCTCAAGCACTAAGACATACACGAGAAAGTCAAATCAAATTCCCCAGCTCCGGAAGACTCTGATTATCAAATTCCTTCCCCCGGGAAGGCAAAGGTATCAAATGGTGTATGCCCGGGGAAAGATCAATTTGCCCGATATGTAGGTGGGTCAATGTGAGCGTACTTAATCCCTGGGGGCAGATTATTCTCTCTTGACCAGGCAGAATTCTTTAGTGCGCTTTCATGTGCAAGCGTTCTCAACAGATTATCAAGAGCTGATATCAAACGTATTTTATAGTAAAAAGTAGAAAAAAAGCAATATTGGGACTGAAGAGGAACAATAGAGTATTCACCATTCCATTAGTTTCATCTCCAAAACAGCTGAACATCGCAGTTTCAAGTCAAAAGAAACGAGACTCCCGCCCAATTCAATCCCCCTTGTACACCGCTTACTATTCTTGAAGAGAAATGGGGTGCAATTTGGTTTCCATTTTGTTTTTAGCCACTACGTCATCACTGGGTCCAGTAAGACTAGGAGAAAAAGTTCGTGGCATCAGGATGATGTGGGGCATAAAAATCAGAATTGCTATTACCCTCCCCCCCCCACCCCCCCCCCTCCCCCCCCCCCCCCCCTCCCCGCCCCCCTCCCGCCCCGTGCTCTCATTCTGATAGTTAAACAACCTGTATTCGAGATCCTGTTAAAATTTTCCGAGACCCACGTTTTTCGAGGTACCATTCGCCACCCCTGGAATTCTCTGCGACAGAGCAACAAGTATATCAGGACCGTACCAAAAGGAGCCGCTCTCAGTCACGAAAGCATAGCCGGACTCAGTGCATTGGATTAGTTTGATTTTGTTCGATTTTGTTCGGTTATATTGGTTCGATTGGTTTGAAAATCGAACTCACAGCAAAATAGGTGTTCGATTTTGTTCGATTGCCCAACCCAATCGAACGATTGGAGTTCGATTGAGTTCGATTGGTTTTTTGTTCGGTTTTGTTCGATTGGGAAGGTCGGGTTGAAAAGCACCAACATCGAAATCATTTGTTAAATTCAACCTTGCAAAAATCGAAGGCCTCTAAATAAGGCAACAAAGCTGGTTTGTGGCTTAAATTTAACGTCCAATGTATACCCTGGAATATAGCTGCCCAGAGTATCACTGGTATTGAACAGAAAGATTACATAAAGTATTTGGGAGTTTATATAGATAAACATCTCAATTGGCAACCACAGATACAACATGTAAATAATAAATTAGCTAAAAATTTAGGAATCCTTTCAAAACTAAGATATTACATAGACCTGAATAGACTGAAACAAATTTATTATGCTTTAATATTTCCCTATTTGAGTTACGGTATTCTTGCTTGGGGCTGTGCCAGCAAAACCAGATTAGATTGTCTTCGTATTAAGCATAACAAATGTCTCCGCACCATCTTCTTTGTACATCCTAGAGAGAGTGCGGCTCCCTGTTTCAAATAGCCTGCATAGCAAGCGTTTCCTCGCGAGTTCGTCGAGAAAGTTGGGACGAGAGCAAAAAAAAAAGAAAGGACGGGGGAGGGGGAGGGGGCTCTGGAAACGCTTGCTACGCAGGCTATGTTTCAAACTCCTAACAATCCTTAAATTAGATAATATATATAAATTAAAAATATGTTGCTTTATACATAGAATGAGAAATGAGACTGATAGCATTCCAGATATTTTCCTTGATGTCCTGACTCCAGCATCGCGTATACACAGTCATAATACAAGATTTGTCAGTAATCTGAACTATTTTAGGCCAAGAGTATCCACCAACTTAGGTAAGACGTCCTTTAAATTCTCCGGTCCAAAAATCTAGGAGACTTTACCGCCTGGTCTCAAGTGCCTGCCATATCATAAGTTTAAGAAAGAATGGAAGTCCTGTCTTCTAACCAACCAAATCTGACCTTGCTTATATGTTCTATCACTGATATTATTTGAGATTTTATTCCTCTCTTTACTGCTGCCAATTATTTCAACATGACGGTGTCCAACAAGAAAGCTCTTGCTACTTTGGATACCGTACACAAATGAACTTAATGTCTTTTAGTTAATTATTATTTGTCAGCTACTTTATTTTCCTACCTACGTACACTTATGTAAATATCTTATATAGTGTGAATAAAGAATTGAATTGAATTGAATTGAATTGAACTGACAGACTAGCCATAAAGTAATAGATATCCTGCGATCACGCCCTCCAAATACTAGTCTAAAAATGCCTCGTGAATATAGTCAGGTACTTTACACAAATAGCAGGTAACATCGGGGCCGACCTCGTGTAACCAGAGGTCCGTAGTTTGGGGGGGAAAGTTAGTGTTCAAATTCCCCGCTACTCGAGCCAAAAAGCTCAAAAACACCGTTCACATAGATCCATTTTAGGGGATCAAATTCCCCCTCCCATCCCGAGAGGAAATTATCAGGGACCATCTTACTATTTTAACACTAGTAATGTAGCTTTCTAATGCTGTTGAAGCCGAGTCTGCAGACAGAGCAAAGCTTGGGTAATCCTTTGGATTTTAGCCGTTCCACCATGAAGCTGCAATCCCCAAACTCGCCGTGTGGAGCCCGAGATCACTGATTTATCACGCCTCGCTCGCTCAAGCACTAAGACATACACGAGAAAGTCAAATCAAATTCCCCAGCTCCGGAAGACTCTGATTATCAAATTCCTTCCCCCGGGAAGGCAAAGGTATCAAATGGTGTATGCCCGGGGAAAGATCAATTTGCCCGATATGTAGGTGGGTCAATGTGAGCGTACTTAATCCCTGGGGGCAGATTATTCTCTCTTGACCAGGCAGAATTCTTTAGTGCGCTTTCATGTGCAAGCGTTCTCAACAGATTATCAAGAGCTGATATCAAACGTATTTTATAGTAAAAAGTAGAAAAAAAGCAATATTGGGACTGAAGAGGAACAATAGAGTATTCACCATTCCATTAGTTTCATCTCCAAAACAGCTGAACATCGCAGTTTCAAGTCAAAAGAAACGAGACTCCCGCCCAATTCAATCCCCCTTGTACACCGCTTACTATTCTTGAAGACAAATGGGGTGCAATTTGGTTTCCATTTTGTTTTTAGCCACTACGTCATTACTGGGTCCAGTAAGACTAGGAGAAAAAGTTCGTGGCATCAGGATGATGTGGGGCATAAAAATCAGAATTCATAATACCCTCCCCTCCCCTCCCCTCCCCTCCCCTTCCCCTCCCCTCCCCGTCCCCGTCCCCGTCCCTGTCCCTTATTTGAGCTAATAAAAATCATTGCAGTTCAGGCCAGAAGAGGCGACACGAGGAGGAAAAAAGAACTTTTTTATGTCTTCCCTGCCTTTTTACTCTTGTCCTCGGGGAATGAAATTTTACACACGTTCGTGGCGTTTTTGGCTTGATCTACCCCCGGCCCGGCAAAGACAAATGATTATCCACCAATATCGAAAAAAACATGGCTAAGCCTTATCTTACACTTTTTCTCTATTAAGCATAATCATGACATCAATTTCATTTGCAAACAACAGTCTGCTGTTTAGAACTTGTCGCTCAATAACTTAAAGGATTTTTCCTAGGAAATTCTTTTAGATCGGAATGATAAAGATAACGTAAATGGCCGGTGTTAAAATTGGCTTAAAGAAGTTTGATGTCAATGATCACAGCCATCTCTCGGGGAAAATATCCATTCATTGTTTCAGTTATAGTTCTACCGCCTGGTCTGAAGTATATTAAACTGAAGCTCTTTAACCGAGATCCGTTACCTGTGAATCAAGTAGTAGGTCAGGGGTCTATCTTTGGACTGGTTCTTTTCCTTCTATTTCTGAATGACTTTCCACTCCACTGAAACAAAGGCGGCTTTACCCTGCAGGATGGTATATGCTTCGAACCCCTTACACGGTGATGAACGTCTTCGCTAGGGAGTCCAAAGTTCTATTTCAATTTATGTGACTGACACAACCAAAGTCGTTTTCATGTTCAAGAACAAATATAACTAAAAACAAATGACTGTAGCCTTCACCAATCAATAAACAGCAATTCTACTAATTTATTGAAAACCCTCAAAGACCCAGGCCAGTGCTAACAGAGAGAAGCCTGCGCGGTGTGGCCCTTTCTCGACGAACTCCCGCGGAAACGCTAGCTACGCAAGCTAACACAGTGAAAGTAAAAACAATGATTCACGTCTAATTCTTTTGCACACAAGCTTTCAAAATACGTTCAAGGTGGATTTAAGGCTGTTTAGAGAGGAGAGACACCGTCTAATCTGATTCATCTCCCTCTTGCGAAAGGAGCAACTGAACTTATTCCATTTGGCCGAGTTGGCGCCGGTAGCTTTTAACTGAAACCTACGAGAACAAAATTCGCATCAATACGGTAGATGTTTGACGACAAAAGCGCTACCTGTACAGTAGTTGCTTCTTTTCTATCGGGCTCCTATCGACCAAACGGGATAAGATTTCATCTTTCATTTCTTCTTGAAAGGGAGATACCCTCTGTAATTATATTAGCGGTCTTTGAAAGACCTTAGAAAAAATATTGCACAGCAACTTTCAGCGTGATATACGAGCATCAGAGAGCGCCGCTCCATACCAGCACATTTTTGTCGATTTTTTGCCACCGCCAGTAACATTCTAGAACTCTTAGTTTGTCACTCTCAAATAAAACGACTGAAATCAAATAAGAAATCAGGATAGTGCAATAACATCCTTCTTCTCTCCCTGAAAACCTGACGGGTGAAAATGTCCCCCAAGAAGCAAAGATGAACATTTCATGACACTGTGTCTTGTAGCTTGTACGAAGTGCATCAAATAGTTTAGTAATTACAAATGTCCTAACTGTCATATGTTAACAAATGACTTGCATTCACAACAGGATCAAATACCCACGACTATTTTTTATAAAACCGTGTCAAGATATTCAGCAGGAAACAATTCATGAGAAATATTTTAATAACTGATGACGCAAACAGCTCCAGCCTACCAAAATATACTAATCTTAACTGTAAAAATGAGGTCCGAGAAATTCCTTATGATACCTGTGGAAAACTGGTAAATTTTACAAGGAACTCATTATTTCCTTCACTATCACACTCTTCCACACAAAACACAAAACTGAAGAAGATAACGCCGGAGGATCCATGTGAAAATGATATTTTTATTGTGGTCACTTCTCGATAAAACAGAGAATTACATGAAAAGAGGCACTGTATCACTGACCATTTCAATTTAACACCTGGGCCGGGTTATTCAAAGCTGGGTTAGGATAACCCAGGGCTAGTGCGAAATTTGAATTCAGACTTTGAAAGGTAAAAAAGCAAATTCAATTTAATTCTTTTTGTCTACAATATGATGATTGGATGATCGCGTAAAAGTATAGAGAAAGTTACCCGAGAAAATGCTTTCAAGTAAAAGAAAAAGAAACCCGGGTTTAAATTTAACCTCAGGTTAGCGCTAAACGGCCTTCGAACAACTGGGCCCAGAATGTTACAAGGAATTACACCAAAGATGACGAAATGCAAACTGAGGAGACAACCACATCTTGTTGAGGCTAGTTCATCAGCAGGAACAGCATTTTACAGAACGGTTAAAACCCTTTGAGCCCTAAGGGTGATCAGTATTAAATTTCTCCTTGTAATATCAATACTTTGTAAAACAGAGTGTTCATAAGAAATACGGACATGATCACAGAAGATGAATCTGCTTGATATTTTATCAACTTCTACCCACTACTTCTGCAGGAAATGAATAGGGGCAACAAATGAGAATTCAAATTTTGAACTTAGGGACTAAAGGGTTAGTGACTTTACTTTTACCCAGCTTCTCTCTGGTGTGACTGCCTGATTGTGGACTTTCACAAAGTCGATGGCAAATGTTTCGTAGTCACGAAGTCCTTCGACTGCGTTGCTCCCTAGGTTTGCTCGCTTTAGGTTAATGACAAACATTGACCTTGTACTGCTGATCAGAAAAGAGCTTTATGCAAGAGCCTAGTGGCGTGACTGCAGTTTCTTTAGCCTGCCATATTTGTCAGGTCGTAAAACTGGTTTTGTCCGGTTTCAGACCAGCCTTCTCATTGGTTCCTTTCGGTAAAATACAAACTGCGCCTAAAAACGAACGTAACATAACTAGATATACCTCAATTTGGAGTGTGTTCGATTGGTAGTATTCCAGAATATTAAGAATAACGTAGTTGTGGACTAGAACGAAAAGCAGCTCGAAACCTGGCCTCAATTTTGGATTTAAGGGTTTTGTCATGCCTGACTCTGTAATCGGCGTCAAATGGGGTGTATTATTTTTTGAGAACAAAACAACTGGATCCCGGCCTACCCAACCCCTCCATTCAATGTTGGTCTGTTGTTTTTTCCTACATTTTTTCGTTTCCCCCTTTTGAACTAGAGTGTAAGCACAGTAGAAACAAATCGTGATAAATGTCCCTGAGGACAGAGTGTCTCAAGCGATTTTATCGTCGATTGTCAGGATGGCTTCGTAATTTAATTCTCAGAGATCGATCGATTGTTGATTTTCACAGTTACCGTTAGGAACGCAGCAGTAAAAAACATTGTCATTTTCATAAGGAATTTTGAATTTGGGATAAACCCGTGCCAAGATACTGAAGTTCTTTAAAAGCAAAATGCTGCTATAATTATAAGCCTTAAGTTATATGTCAGCACAAATTGAACAAAAAGTAGCAATAGTATAGGATAATTCTATAACTATTGTATCAGTGGGAATTTTGACTGGAAAACATCATCGAAATTTAGCCAGCTGAAGTTGTAATCCAGCTTCCTTCTCAATCGTATTTTTGATTACAGTTCCAATGGAAAAACTGTTACCGCATTATTGGGGGCTTTAATGCTTGACCCTAGTTTTACTCCGGAGCTTCTATCCGATTATTCTGGGTTACAGAAGGGGTTATATTAACCACATCAGGATCATTATCTTGTGCTGAAAGGTAAAGGTCCATAACTCGTAACAGCTCCTAACTGACAAACCTGAGGCCGACGGTTTGCCGCGCCCAATATACCCACCCTCTCTTCATCAGTGTCCCGCTTTACATGTATTCAAAGCTGCTTAAAGCTACACGTCGATACACGGAAAGGAAGAAGTCGGAACAACGATTTGAAGTCACACCTAGGAATCGAGCTTTGACCCTCCGGCACAAAAGGCCGCGCACTAAGAACCTGTACTAATCCATTCTCCTGTACTTGAATTACTTCTACGCATGATATAGCCTCCCCAAAAAGAAGCAGAGATATCCAGTGTACTCCGAAGAAAGCGCAAGAAAAAACACAGACCCGCCTACATCGTCACATGGTTTTAAACGCTGGTGTATACGAACATCACGCCGTCTCAATATTAATTTTGAACAAACTACAACATAAATTGGGGAGGAAACAAACGCGTACGGCGCCACTTTCTTTTATAGTATGGTTCTGTTTTATGGCAAAATATTGAGAGTTGATGGATCAAATAAATTTGTGATACATTATTGTATAAGGCAGATATTAATAAATAATATAGATAAATATGTAAATTGTACTCTTCGCCGTTTTGGACCACGTGTTGGATTTCTAGTTGTTATTTATTAGTTTGGTTTAAGCAGATAGTGTTCAAGTTTCCAGGGTATGGATGTTTTAAGACGAGTTTTAAATGTTTGAATTCACAGTTAAATATTGAAGTTTAGGACAAAGAGTAATACAAACAGGAAAAGAACGCTTGGCCAGAATTAGACTGAAATCTATGGTGACTGCAAAACAAAGGTTTGTCGCCTTACCGATCAGGTGGGTTGCCATATTGCGGCGTTACTAAATTACAACTACTGTACATACCGATCGTAGCGAGAACCATACTGACAAAGAAGCACGTGTCCGATCAAATCAACTCGACATCTCGAAAAAATGATCCGCTAAGCTCGCAGGAAAGATATAAAAAGAAACCGGTTAATATGTAAAGTTGACAAAGTTTTGCCTGCGTTCACCTGACAACATGCTCGTAATCAAACAAATGAATGACACTGAATGACAGTTTCGACCTGAAAATAATGGATAACCAAACGAAAGTTTAATAAATGGCTTATTCTTCCGCTGGTTCATATCAAACTGTCAACATTTTTCAAAGTTCCAGACATAGAGACGACAAGTGACATTTCTCGTTTGCACCTGTCGTATAATCAAGGGTGTTTTTTTGGAGCACAATTATGTCTTCACGACAGCGAGATAGTAAACTTAAACTGCATGGCCAATAAAACTGGCAAAAATTTTCTTGGTTTTTCAACAAGCTGCTTGCTTGTACTGGAAGCATTTCCACTTCCGGGTATCAAACTTATCTCAAATTACAATAAAACTCGAGTGACTTGACAACAACTTTTAAAGCCAGTTTCTTCTTTTTTAAAACATCGTGTTTTTTCGTATTTAGTTCTAAATAGCTGCTAACTAATGAGTTTTATCCAAATCTTCCTGATATTTACTCTATTTCTCATTTTAAATAATTTATTTGTCTTCGTTATTAAGACATTTGTAGCCACAAGAATTTAATTAAACGGACAATTCGCCGTCCAAGAGTACAGAAACGTTCCATAACAAAAAATAAATTAAATAACAACGAGTATTTTCAAAGCAGACTTTGCTTTTTCAAAAATTTCACGAGTTATGTTTTTGTTAAATAGAGACTTCGCATAACGGAGACTTGATCTAGGCACAATAAAAAAGAATATATTCTACAAACAAGTACGCGAGTTATTCCGCTCCGTGGCAAGGCTCAACCTCCACTTCCTTTCATGGCTGGGTGTGTTTTCATAGCAACATCGTGCTAAAATTTAACACTCTCAGGTTTTGGCCATTGCTCATCTCGGCTATCACACCCTGAAAAAGCCTGTTTTTGGATTTGTCGAAGACATTCACAACGTTCTTTTTGAAAAAGGGCGTTCATGTTAAACCAACAGAACGATCTGTGATAGGCCAGTTACACTCGCTCACTTATCTTCATTCTATTGCCATTGAAAGAATACTCTTTCAGTACTCTCTTCTTCACCTTAAAGATGAACCTAAGTTTCGGCGAAACTTAATGTTTAACAATCAACCACTTCAAAAAAACATTAGTATTTGCATACATTGTGTGTTGTTACACTTTCTCATACGTTGTAACTATTGATTCGTCTGGGCAGAACTTATCAGTGTTTCTTTACAAGAAAGACAGGGGAGATTCTATAATGGCTTTAGGGAACGCAGACTGAGAGTGAAGCAAAAAACGACAAAATTCGGTCAATTTAAAAATCCCACATTACTACGAAAAGTGGTTTAGAGCTGGGAGGGTTAGTTACTCAATGGTTGGTGAAACCGGAGAAATCAAAATGGCGCCAAAATAATCGCTTACAACAACAGGATTCCTGCCCCCGCTTAAAACAAACTGCACTTTGTGCAGAACAACAAACTAGACACGCACATGTAAAACAGAATTATTTAGGTCTCTGTCCATTTCAAAATGACTTTTCACGCTAAATCTCAGAGCCCTTGATTTCAGTAAACTCAGATTTATTAACTGGCATGTTTTAAGTGTCTCCGAGAAACCGGCACGTTAAAACGTACAATCAGTAAAATGAACTTCTTCAAGTACAACGGCTGTAAAAAAACAGCGGGTGTTTTGTTTAAGGACCCCATCAAGAAGAAGTTTCAAGCCGTTTTTAAGTATGATTTATTTCATTTTCGAGAAGATAAAGACGTCAGTTATAAATTCAGTATGACGAATAAATTGTCCTTACTTAGCATTTTCTCTCTTGTTCCGGTAATTTTAAATGTAAGCGGCTTGGTCTACTCACAACAAAAATCTGAAGGAAGATGTGACATACGAGTAAATTTTCGTGCTAAGTTAAAAGAAGTTGTTGCTTTCAACGATGGCTTTTATTCCATAGGTTGTTTTTATAACTAAATGCAGAACTGTCTTTCCCTTTGTATTAGGGCAGTAATCTCGTAAAATATTTAAAGACGCGCAACTTAATTGGAAAACACGTTCAATAAACATTGTACAAAAAATTGCATATGAAGACACTTCTAAAAACCGAAACCAAGGTAGTGAAACATGTCATACAACTGTCAACAAATCATAGATAAGTAGAAACACAATTAAGTGAACCCCATTAAAACGGACTGTTATAAACTTTTCTTTTTTTTACCGATAATTAAACTACTGGCAAAATCTCTTGATAAGCAACTAATTTGGTGGGGAAAGGTACGTACCGTATAAGCACAGTTCCGCATAACTCATGACAGCTGTAAACTTAAATAAAAATTGCAAGAAGTGTGATTCGATCACAAGTTTATCTTGCGTTTTTTCCTCTTCTTTCTTTCAGCTTCCTCGGCTAATTTTTTCTGCAATGCTTCTCGTCTTTGAAGCTCCATGTCCTGGGTAAAAGACAAAAAGGATATGATAACATGAAAGACAGGCAGCGCTACATTTGGGCCTTTCCACCTTTCTGATGGTTAAAATGCGTGTGGCCTAAAACGTGTGGTAACCTGTTTAAACCAAGTGTTCAAGCTTTGCTTCCATGAATATATAAAATAAAAATGAATAACAATTTAGAGGTAGCACAACCTTACACATAGCGGTTCTTCGTCTGCCATTCCTGTTTTAATTAATATCTGGCAATGTTGGTTTTAGTGGAGAGGGGAAAACCGGAGTACCCGGAGCAAAGTTTTTCGGAGCAAAGGAAGGACCAAAAACAAACTCAACCCACATATGGCGTCGACGCCGGGATTTGAACCCGGGCCACACTGGAAGGTAATAAAACTCAGAATGGAGAGCCAAGCAGTAAGCATTGCGAAGCTAAGCGTGAGTCCGCTAATGGTTGAGAAAGTGATAATGGCGTGAGCTTGTAAATTAGTATTTTAGGGTCTTTTAATATCTTTATTTCATCAAAATTTTAGTCTATGATAGTGGAATGTAAATTCGTCATATGATGACTGCCGCTTAAAAGCGAGCCAAGCGTGTGTCCGCTAATTTTACAAAGTCGAAATTTTAGTCTATGATAGTGGAATGTAAATTGGTCATATGTCAGTAAGCATTACTACTGCTCATCTATTTATTTTTCCCTTTTCTTACCTTGGAAGGTGAACCTGCAGGTGATGACATTCCAGACTTCGAAGGTGACGTAACAGGTGTCTTCCTAGGGGATCGCTTGGGTGACGTGGTGTAGGGTTCATCGTCTTTTCCTAGAAGGGAGGGTGGAGGCAGATCGGTCCATGAAGGGGCACTTGGACCCCCCACTGCTCCATACGCTACTGATCCATAAAGCTCATCATCATCGTCATCATCATCATCATCATCCAGCTCTAAAGGAGGAACACCATAAAGGTTCTAACTGAGGTACAACTAAAGGAACCCCGCTCTGTTAGGACACCCGCTTACAAGGGACAGGAGGTTCCCAAGAAAAGATCATATTTTCTGTTACTTTATTGAAATTTAATGCACACACCGGCCAGTACTGATAACGGACATTTTTATGTGACCCAGGTGAAACGCAAGCATCCAAAGTACACACCTTGCTTTACACTGATTACTGCAAACTGGTGGGAACCTGACAAAATACGCCAATAGTCTTTTTTTCAACATTTAACATTCCGACCGTCTGACTGAGCCACAAACTGAAAGTGACGAGGATATCTATTTGCCGAGTTAGGATTCGAGTTGGATTTTCGATTTAGATTTTCGAGTTAGGATTCGAGTTAATATTCGGGTTGGATTTTCGAGTCGGATTTCGAGTTTGGATTCGAATTGCATTTTCTAAATGGATTTTCGAGATAGGTTTCGAGCTGGATTTTCGAGTTAGGATTCGAGTTGGATTTTCGAGTTAGAATTCAAGTTGGATTTTGGAGTTAGGAATGGTCAATTGACATGAACTTTGACATGAACATGAACTTTCACGAAGTACGGTCAGCTATGCAGAATTCAATATGTCCAGGAATGGTCAGCGGTTTACACATCGTCCTCTTTTGAAATACAGAATGTATAGGGATGATCACGAGAATGTAACGAGAAAATTTCTCTTAATTATAGAGAATGATAGGCTGAGAGCAGTCTCTTATTTTTCTCTGCAAAGTTACTGAACGCGAAACTCAAGCACGAGAGCCGCGATAAACGAGGGCGTCAGCCCAAGAAGAAAAAATAAGACATCTTTTCTCGTCTCGTACCAATCCCTTATTGTAACGTAACGTCGTGGTTTGCAATCGCGCTGGCTGAGATAAGAAGTAGACTGATTTTAAGACAAAAGGCGGGCTGCAAGTAGAGTGACGAGCTTCGGTGTCACTTATGTCCAGAAACGCACGCAATGGCGAAAATGGCGAAAGATCGCCAGAGGGCTGGCAATTCAAATTGGACGCCAAAAGTGGCTCCTTGGAGAGTGACGATTTTGGCGAAAATGGCGAAATTGGCGATTTTTGCGAAATTGGCAATCTGGTAAAAATGACAAAAAATCACCAGGCCCCTTGGCGAGTGGCGATTTTGGCGAAATTGTTCGGGGTGGGTGTCCCAGAACAACTTTCGCAGCTTTATTCTGGAGGATCTGTAATTCTGTATTGTATTATTTAACGGTAATCGAATAGTGGGAGAATTAGGGCATTGTAAAGGCTAATTCTTGTTTGTAGCGGCAATAGGTTCCTGATTCTTCTAATTAAGCCTATCGTCTGATTAATCTTCACGCTTATAAAATCGACATGGTCTGCCCAGGATACAGATTGGTGAAGTATAACATCTAGATATTTAAATGACTCTGTTCTTTCAATACAGGTGCCTTCTAATTTAACCGAAAAGTCTTGAATACGATTCAGTTTTTGATGACTTCCAAAGATGACAAAATTACATTTCGATATGTACTAGAGTAAGGCGATTTCTGGAGAACCACTCCGACACAGTTTGTAAGTATGCATTAGTGCGACTTTCAAGATCACTGACGTTTTTGGATGAATAATATATTACAGTATCGTCCGCATAAAGAATAATATCGCTCGCCTAATGACAATCCGATCATTTACATAAATCAAAAACAGTAGAGGTCCAAATACGATACCCTGGGGTACACAGACAGGCACTTCGGTCGGTGCAGAGTGCGCATTGCCAACTGATGTGATCTATGACCTGTTTGTGAGATACGATCTAAACCACCAGGTGGTAGCGAAGATAAGACCTGTGTTCGTCAGCTTCTGTAATAGCAAGTGATGCTCCACTGTATCGAAGGACTTAAAGAGGTCCAGAAAAACAGCTCCTTTCAAACTGCCAGTGTCCATATTCTGAAGGATGTTGTCTGAAATGAGCCAAGGCTGTCCCCGTTGATAACTTAGGTCTAAACCCAAATTGTTTGGAAGTAATAATCTCATTGTTCCTAAGATGACCGTATATTTGGGTGTAGACCACTCTTTCTAGGATTTTACTTATGGTTGGCAGAACAGTAATGGGCCTGTGGTTATTTGCAGCAACCTCGTCCCCAGGACACTTTTCCCTGGCTTTGGAGCTCTGGGGACGAGGTTGTGTTTGCATCGCACTTTTCCAGATTTCCAAATGGAGGGGAAGGTGCAAGTTTCAAGATAGAGATTGAATAATCTAGTTAGACTGGCACTGATTACTGAGGCTGAATCTTTCTTTTAGCTGACGAAGAAAGTCTTCAGTAATTGGCTCGAAATTAAATTCACGGAGCGGACTCGGGGTTTACTGTAGGCATTGACAAGATATAGGACCTGCAAGACTTAAGCTTTTGCGCTAATTTATCTTATTGGAGCGTGGCTGTCAGCAACGTGAATAAAAAGCTTATTCCGATTGTTGACGGCGGTATCAATGCCCTCCTCGTTTAGTGCGAAGTGACATATTTTTCTCATCAAATCAGAGAACCGTATAAGTCTCCTGGTAAGCGTTATTGATTTAGTTCAGACATCAATTGGAAATAAATTATTATACACTGATCCAATGAAAACATTACCTGGAAGATCTTTTTCCGCTAACCAGGCCTTCTTGATCATAACTTGTTTGTACAATTCACATGAAGCGTCGTCAAACCCTTTTGTTACAGAATCTTTCACTGCATCCTCGAAACCCTAATGGCATGGATGGACATTGCGTTAGCTTTCCTGTTTTAAAAAGTAGTGTTTTCTCAGTACGGATAATAACAACCCTTATTTAATATTCATTCAAAATATTTCTCTCTTTCTGATTGGGTCAAATCACACGGCAAATTCTTCATAACAACCTAGCGTTGATCAAATTTGGAAGACGTTTGTGATCTATGGAAAATGCCTCAATTGCATTTGAAAAATTCAAAGGAACTTTTACGTTAAGATCTTTTGAAACAATGCATTGCGGGCAAGTTATTATAAAGACAAAATAATTAATAACTCAGTTGCTTCATCATTTTAGAGAAAACAACACTTTATTTATACGGGTACGTGACGACTGCGCAGCGGGAGCCCGCTTTGTTTAATCACGTGTCAGCGTAATCGGGTAATGGGCATCCCCTGTAACCCTAACCCAAATCGCCAAGGTGATATGAGAAGGGGATGCCCATATTACTAGGGTTTGGGGAGTGGGGATGCCCAAAGCGCGGGGATGCCCATATCACTGTAACAGCGCAGTAGCTAAGAGCACTCAATGTGGCCCATGTTCAGTCCCCCTCGTCGACGTCACATGTGGGCTGAGTTTGCTGTTGGTTTCCACGTTCTGGTTTTCCCCTCTCTTTTTGCCTTTTTCCTCTTTCTTATTTTACTATATCGCGCTCATTTGCGTATGGTTCGAAAGACCTCTTCCCCTTGCACAAGTCATGAATTTTCTACTTTTAAAAAGAAAAACTGCCCAAAGAGAAATCAAGAGAAGAGAAAACGTGTTTTGTGATCTATTCGTTGTATTCGATTTATTTCGTTGATTTCTTAGTTGCCCTTTCTTTACCACCTGTTTGCCTGTTTAAAAAGCTATTAACGGATGGAATCACACGACCTCTGTTTTTCATAAGATCAGCTATAATTAGTCGAAATACGCTGTAATTGCCGTTCGATTATTTCCTACAATGTCAAATTAAACTGAGTTTATAAACTAAAAGGCTTCATGAAATATTTACTGCTTAGCTAAAATACAGAAAGAAAGGAAGCCACAGGGGCGACAGAGTTATGTTTGACATTGATGCAAATAATTCGCATTGCGACTGGACAAATAAACGGCGTGGCCGATAATGGCGTCCTTTTAAATTATGATCTTGCGATTAGTGATTAGTTCAAGTTTTTTGTCTGGTGCAGATAAATTCAGTCATTCTAAATTTATTCACTCTATTTTTTTCTTCGGCCGTGAACCATTCCGACGACGTCACCCTTTGGGTAACAATAGTTAATTCCGGCCACGCAAAGCAGTTTGTGCACAGATGCGCTCTTGAAGGATAGAGAAAATTGAATGAATTTGATTGGTAGAACCCATTAATTAACAACTGCATGCGTCAGCGCGAGTACACAGCTACTTCGAGAAAGGTTGTCGGGAAAAGTACACGCGACAATCCCTAAAGGTATTGTAGCTGGTTTTAAGTTCACTGTTCTTCAAAGAAATTTGAAAGAATGGCACGACAGGCCGTGGACTTACGTTTGCAAGTGCTAAAGGAAAGCAACAAAAGTAGGTTAAACAACTACAGTGTCAGGAACAATGTATTGATCATATCCCATATTACTCTGCGAGATTGTCGCTTGCACATTCTTCCCGACAACCTCTCTCGAAATAGCTGTATATAGAGCGTTTTCAGTCACGTGTCCAGCATCTGTGCAAATTTATTAGAACAAAAGAAAAGGTTTGCATAAGAAAAGAGTTCAACTCCCACAGGATTGGTATGGAACACCAAAATGGCCCCCGTGACGTCATGTGAAAACGGTCCATACTAGTTTGCTGACGCCATCAGCGTGCCCAATTACAATTTATAAATTAACTAAGATAGTACGCGCGCTCTGATTGGCCCGGAAGCATATTTGTATGAGTGTATGTAATCATGGTTATGACTTCAAGATGTTTTGTTTTTCGCGCGCTAATCAGGCAACCACGAATTTGAAAAAGTTTTTAGTTGAAAACTCGACAAGTTTACTTTATTTACCCATTCCCTCGTCGGCTGAAACTTGGAAAATCATTACAAAACATGCTGTGTCTATTTCATTTTCGGTTAACTGACATTTTAAGAGAGAAAAATCCGTATTTTGGAAAACCTCTCTTTTGCAAAAAAAGAACTGATAACGTGTGGAAGACTTCGTGTTCAAGACTTCGTGTTCAAGACTTCGCGACTGATGAGAATTTTTCTTTTAATCAGTGCCATAACAAAGAGTTTCAGTTGGCGATTTTTTCAGTTGACATTTCGAAGAAAAAAATCTGGAACAAAGTGTGCGTAAGGAAGGGTTTAAACATTTCAAAGCAGGAGAATCACAAAAAGTAGAGCTTTAGTTCAGTTTTTCAAAAGAGCAACATGAATGAAAAATCAGGGTCAGTTGTAAGTACCTGTGAAAGAATAATCTTGCTGTTAAAGGCATTCTCGTCAAATTCTGAAGTTGCAAGGCTTTCTGAAGAATGAATTAGGTACTGTTAGATTTTTATTAAACTAAACTTAGTGAAAGGAGGAGAAGAAGAGAAAATTGCCAACACTAGAGATATTAAAGGAGAGAATACAAAATACTAAACTTTTATAAAGTTTGCATACCGTCGGCACTAAAAATCGGGAGCTTAAATAACAAGAATACATCTTCAGGAGAAATGAACAATTTTGTATATAATTTTAAGGGTCACCATGAATCACTGAACCCTTTGAAACCAGCATCGCTGTACTAAGTATTCAAAGCAGGGAGGTACGTGAATATTTTGTTTTAAAACACCTTTAGCCGTAATTAAAAACGGATTAACTATGAAAAACCAACAAGTCTGACTAAAAGCGTACTTTTTCACCCTTAGCTTAGCGATGTAACATATATAAGCTCGTGGTACTTTCCACCTTATTGTTCTAACTCACCCTTAGACAAACGAATAGAGATATGCAAACGCTATTAGCACACTGACTAATGAGCCATTTGAAAAAAAACGATGAAAACAACTAAACCATTTAATACATGCAGGCGGACACAATAAAAGGCAAATTTCGGCTTAAAGGTTTGTTATTAGCTCAACTGTACAGAAATTCAGAGTTACAGAACTTTAACATTTTGCGCTTTC